AGGAAGGAAGGAAGGAAGGAAGGAAGGAAGGAAGGAAGGAAGGAAGGTCTAATCAACATTGGACTGAGAAATTAGTACTACATTGGCTGAATCAATCATTGGTTTCCTTGATCTTTAGTTAGAAATTTTTTATTCCATCACCTGTTGTAAGAAGAAATCAGAATGTAGCTGTGCAGAAATCAATAAATATACTTGCAACAATCTGTGCTTAAATCTGCTACTAGCTTAGGAAAGCCCCTAGCCTTATAATGACTTTTTCATTACATAAAACTGGAAAAGCTGCCCTGATTGTATCTTATACTGATGATATATTGCACAGAAATGTTCTTTTGGGGAAAATATGATGGATTGAGCAGTCTGTGTCTCATGCTGATAGAATCACAAAATTGAGACAATATTCAAAACAAACAAGTTAGTCAGGTCTGTCTTGTCCTGCTTTCAGCGAAATTCACAAGTTAATTCCATTCAAGTGCCTTGATTCAATTTCTGCTGTTTAGTTACTTCTAAGTAAGCAAAGTTCTGCTTTAATTATTACTAACCTTAGCTAAATATCTAGTCTACCCATAACCTGTAGTCGACAAATTTTATAGTCTGACTGGTGAAATAGATTTCAATAAATCATAACTGTCCCAGAAAGTAGCACCACTTAGGAGACCTTTGCTGATTTTGGAGACTACTTAATAGGAACCTAGTCTAGAACTGATATAGGGATTACCTGTTAATCCCATGGCTTTTAGCTAGATTAGGAAGGGGAAAAAAAATCTCTGAAGGAAATACCCACAATGTTCCCAAGAAAACTGCAGCAGAACTACATTCTAGTCATTGTATTAAAATATTGAGCAGTTCAAATAGTTTGTTTTTCAGTTCTTGATTATTATTTAGCTCATTTCCAGCCTTGTATATGGAGAAAATCAGGAGTGCTTGGTACTCTCTGAGCACTGATGATGTTGCCTGGTTTGGGTAATGAAGCATCTGCAAGAAAGCAACCAAGCTCAGTAAGCACCAGAAACCCTTCATTTCAACCCTGAGCTAAAAATATTATCCTTTGTTGGTACCAAGTATCTCTTTGCCCACATCGAACCCAGCATATTACCTGTGGCTGAAAGTAGCAGCACCCAAAGAAAGATCAGTGTGTGATCCATCTCGTGGGAAGATTCCAGAAGAATTTAAGCCAGTAATCCTGTGGCAGGGATCACCTGTGAATATATACAGTGCAGAATCTGAAACTTGATCTGCATTTTTTTTCAACAGCTCAGATGAAAAGGAAGTGATCTTGAAAATACTTCAAGATGCCAAACAATATTTGTTAAACTGTGCCAACATTATAGATGCATATAAGTGGCATTTTCCTTATCTATTAATTTCTACACTTGCTTAATACTCCATACTGTTTATTGTGCAAACAGTCTTGAAAATGAAGCCCAGATTGGTCATCCTATTTCCTCTTTTTTTTTGGTAAGAGATATTTTCCAGGAAGAAAGCAGGCAAAAATCTATGGATTTGAGGTGGTATCAAATGAAATGCAGCTGTACACCATAAATCCTCCTAACTACTATGCATAGATGGGAACATTCTCCATATCAAAGAGGATTATAAAATTGTGGCATGTTTGGAAGTAACCACATCTTAAGAGGACATTTTTCCTTCAGCTGCACCATAGAATAGAAACTCCTGACATTACTTCAGTGCGCTCAACAGGGAAATTGGTTTTCACTCTTTAAAGTCCAAAATAATCCAGTCTGTATTGCAAGCCATTTTTTAAAATATTTTAAGGACTTTCAGATTTATTTTGTGAAAATGCATGAGAATTTACAAAGATTCTCCTAGACTCACCTTAAGTAGATCATTTTCATTTTTACCTCATCAAGGCTGCATTCCGTGTAACCCCTGCTTAGGCATTAGAACCTGACAGGATTTATTGAATTATACACTCCAAGGGGCAGAGGAATGCACATTCTGCCCCCATCCCTGTCCTATCTCAGAAGTAGCAATAGAATTAGGTATTTTGGCTGCTAGCAAAATCAGGGTTATAATCCAGTTAAACACTCTCAGGAATTTGAAGAGAAATTGAACCCAAGGTAGTTTGCACAAATGTTTTGTGAGAATCAAAGCACCTGGCTATTAAGCAAAATAAAGTGGTCAGTCTGAGTCACAAACCGAAAAAGATGTCAAGCTAGGAAAGACCCTCCATCAGCCAATACCATCCCAATCAGTTTCTTAAAACTGTTCTTTCAATGTATCTGCAACAAGATTTGCTCCCCCATAAACATTGTATTGAGAAAGTCCACAGAGTATCTGATTATGAAAGCAGAGTCTCATTGGGCATAGCTTTGATGAGACATCCAACACAAAGGAAGTAGCTCTGCTGTGGTTCTAGAAGCAATGCATGGTGAAAAACAGCAAATTCTTCTTTGGGTTTAAGTGGGATTTTTGGGTGTGTGCCTTCCTGGCTATAAGTATTCTTATTCAGTTAGTCTGAGAGTTTAGAGACAAGGCTTCAGTGAGTGAGTAAGTGAGTAAATGAGTGAATAAATAAATACAGTAAACTAATAAAGTTTACCAAACATGATCAAATACTGTTGTATAGACTGATCCAACATTCGCTGTTGGCAATTGAGCATTCATAAAACCAGAGGTCCTAGGATATGATCTAACCCTAGTCACAACAAATATGGAAGTTTATTCATGAACATATACTTATATTACTATGTTTCTGGTTTAAACACTCAAATGCCTATGCTGCCTGAGTTTAACAATTTTTCACAGAAACCTTGTACCTCATTGCAATCTGACCCTGAACCTTCATTTGCAGAGTTCCCAAAACAGGCTTTATACATGATACTTCAGGCATCTTTCAATGTAGACTCTTCCGGGGATCTATGAGAGTCACCAGAAGTTTTAAGTGCCTCCAAGATGGGAAATCACCACAGCAAATATGGAATTGAGTGGAACCCATACTAAGCTGGGTGACTGTTGCCCAGTTTTAAATATCCTATTCAGGCTGACAAGGATATGTATACAATCCCATAGATAGAACTTTTATTACTTGTTTTTTAAAAGTGTATCATTTGATCTTTCCCCATATTTGATCTTGTCTAAGAGAGCAGACTATGAAAAATTAGTAATCAGTACCAATAACATAAATCAAATATTTATTTCGGTCTTTGTTCCTTTTATCAATCCATTTTTAAAATAAATTTATAAATTTTATAAAAAACTCAAATGATGAACATAGCTAGTATACTTTCCCCCTCCTATTTTTCTCACAAGAGTCCTGTAGGATGAGAACAATTGATTGGCCCAAAATCACCAAAATCTGTCAGAATCTGATTCAGAGGAAGAGGCCAAGGAGCTGACAAGGAGTGGGAGTGTGGCTCTGTTGGCTGTGGAAGAAACTGAGGAAGGCAAAGGCTGGCTGGGCAGAGCAGGGGAGAGGTAGAGCAAGGGAGAGGGAATTTGGAGGAAGACTCAGGCCCACCCCTCTTCATCCTAGGGCACGCAGGGAGTAATGGAGAAGGGAGAAACATGAGTTGCATGGCTTATGGGGGAGGAAAGGGCCCTGATTCCCTTCTTTAGCTGCAGCTGGGAACACAGTGTTTAAAAAGGGAAGCAAGTTGTTGGGAGCAAATTGTGAATTATCTGGTATTGTTGAGACTTATCTGGGTTCCTGGCAACTTCCCAACTGTGTGTGTTTTGCTGGGCTTTTAAGTCTGCAATTCCTTCTCCTGCCCTGTCAAGTTAATTATTGCAGCATGGTTTATATGGATTTTTATTTACAGTTTATATGTACTTTGTTTTCAGACTGAATTTCCTCCACTTAAATAATGTTCTTGGGAGAGTTTTTTCTCCAGATGAAGGTAACCTGGACATTGGGAGGAAAAGTTGGAGGTACTAAAGGGACACTTCTTGCTTATTTGACTGTGTTGTCTTTGTGCCATGCCCCGGGTCATCACACCACCTGACTTTCATGTCTAAGGTAGAACTAGAACTCACAGTTCTGTCTTTAGCCTGGTATCTTAACCACTGGATCAAACAGGCTCTAATGTTTGGAAATCAAGTAAGTTGTTACCTAACAATTCAAAACAAATAAGGTTGTATCGTTACAAACCACAGAACTTTCTCAGAACATAATATGTTCCACATTAATTCTGGTTAACTGTGATTATCAGTCCTGAATTCACTTTGAAATTAAATTAAGGGGGAGGGAGGAAATCAGCCATAGGCTATGGTATAACAACATTTGAAGCCACTTTATTTTTAAATATTTCATTTTAGTGTTTTGGTAGAAAAAAAACTAAAGAAGATATCTAGGAAAGTACACCCTTTACAGAACAGTAACCCTGCCAATCATCAGAGTATATTAGACTATTTAAAGAGATGGTATTCAGCCAATTCTGACTGGTTCTGGCATACTGGTAGTGGAAATTTTGACTAGTTTGGAGAGCCACCAAATACTGGTTGACCCCCCTCACCCCTGCCTTCACCTCTCCTATATTCCCTTGTTTTTTAGCTCAACTGATTCGCACAGCAGAGTGGATTGCCACACCTCAGCTGAGCTAAAAAGCAGCTCAGCTTACCAGCATTCACAAAGGTCTTTGAGACCTTTGCACAGAGGTGATAGGGATAGGTGATAGGTATAGATGATAAGTAATAGGTGATAGAGCTAGATAGATAGAAGATAGATAGATGATATATAGATTTATAATTATAAATTATGATTTATGATTTATCACTTTGTTGCTTGTATGTATACTGAGAATTTATGCACCAGAGACAAATTTCTTGTGTGTCCAATCACACTTGACCAATAAAGAATATTCTATACTGTTCTGTTCTGTTCTGTTCTGTTCTATTCTGTTCTGTTCTGTTCCATTCCGTTCCATTCTGCTCTGCTCTGCTCTGCTCTGCTCTGCTCTACATTTCCCTTGTATCTCATTTAGGCTGAACTAGCAGGGGTAAAGAAAGGACTGTGAAGCAATATCCAAGTAGCCTAGCAAATTGTGCTGGACTACTGTGGATAAGTTTTTATTCCTAGTTTTAGAAAATGTATTATAAGTAAAGTCTTACATCACCTCTTACTTTCTTTTCTAGCATGCTGCACTTGGCACAACATTAAAAAGTGGCAACTGTCTTGTCTTTGATATAGTTTTGTTGCACTGTATACTTGTTTTCTGAGTGCTCACAAAAGGTAGGCAAAGCTATTTGGCAAGTTTTGGCTTTTCTGGTATAAATCCATTCTTTGCTTGCAGGAATAGTTGTGATTTCCTGGAAACTCTTTTGTGTAAGTTCATTGATCCATCTTATCTTGAGATACAACACTACAAAGTTAGAAAGCCACAGAGAAAGAAAGACGTTGACATAGAGACAGTGGCATTCAGATGAATTCCTCCTCAATTCTTAAAAGCACTTCGAGTCATTGTCCATAAGAGTTAATAAAGCACTTATTCTTATGAGAATTAAATCTACTCGAACAGTCAGAGTTAAGATGAATTCTCAGTTGTTTTGACAGGAATGGTAATATTGCATTAGCAAATATACATAGCAGGCCACATTAAATAAATTAAGAGCTGAAAAAATGATTCTTAATTTATATGGCCATCCAAGCCTAAACTATGTAGAGAACTCATCATTTTGAAAGCAGAACTTTCTAAGAACACTAAATTGTTCAATATCCTCCTTCTCCCTTAGAAATCATTGGTCCAACTATTCCAGGAATTGTTACGTGTTTTCCAGAAGTAGTTCTTCCAGATAAGGATGGAGATTGTGGTGTTCTACATGCAACATTTTGAAATGTACTGTTTCATGGACCGAGCATACAGAACACTGCAAATCACTCCTATTCTAGAAATATAACTTCTAAAAATCTTTCAGAGTAATTTCAGAATAATGAGATCAGCATATTCCAGAATAAACATAAGATGTTCTGATTTTCCCTGAAATGTTCCAGTTCAGGAATGAATGTTACACATAGTACAAATAGTCTTAAAACAATTTTAATGTCTTAAATAATTTGGAAGAAATAAATTAATTAACGAACTAGTAGCTGCTCATATCCAAGAACATTTTCCATCCATGGAAATGAAGTAGCAATGTTTATATCACCTACAAAAACCTCCAAAGAAGAATTAAAGCTTTTGAGTCCTTATAGCAATTTAAACACAGCTATATGGTGTGATATGCAGCGTCAGAGTTGTCTCTGCTGCGTCTGAAGTCTGATTGTGTGGGGGTAATTCAATCCCAGCTTCATTGAACTAAAGTTTATTCTCAAAGATTTGCAGATCCTATAATCCCAGCCATGCTTATGGATGTTTGTGCATATTCTCCAAGTATTCATCCATTCATCAAATGGCTATAAGGCAGAGAAAACTATAATAAGGAAGAGGTAGCAATAATACAATTATTTGAAGCCAAGTACTAAGTAAGGCAAAGATGGAAGACATACTTATGTGACATGGAAAAGATAAGGTGGCACAGAAAGCTAAGAATGGAAAATTGTATGATTACTTAATGAATAAATAAGGAAGAGGTTTACAGGCAATTCAAGGATAAGTCAAGGCTTTGGCACTTCAAGTACCAAAGAAGAAATGATAAATCACTCAACCAATTTTGTTAATCTAAAACAAACTAATCTTTATCAGCAATAGTGTCTGCAAATAATATTTACAAGGAAGTTCATTAGTTTATCTTCATCCACATGAATGTGAGCATAGTAAGGGTCAGTTATGGTAAAACATGTTAATTCACACAAACAACCAAAGAATGCCAATCTCTGATCATTTTAAGCAACTTAAACATATATTCTAGATATGTTGATGAAGATTCTCAGTCATGCAGGTAGAGTTGTCTATAAATTGATTCATGACAACTGGACTTCTTTTCCTGTTGGTTCAAAAAATTTGCTACTTATCTAAATAGTGTCAATAAAGCTGAAGAAGCTACTTAGATATGCAGCAAAATGTTTTGAACCAACAAGAAACATCCAATTGTCATGAATTAACTTCCAGATATCCTATAGATAGTTCTGCGTAATTCTCTAAGTATATTGATCCTTTGCTATTCAGCATATTGTTGTCAATATGCATAACATGTTTTTAATAGGTGGTTGAGTGAAATGTAGGAAACCACTTAAGTAATAAGCAATCAACTGAGAACTAACTTTAAAGGTATCGAAATGAAAACAGACACCTACTTCTTGAAACAGGACTTCACTATAGGTGCAATTCCTATGACTTCACTCTTAAAGCTGTCATTAAAAAATAGGGAAGGATGATGCCTGAGCCTTTATTCTCCTTTTCTAGATTTGAGAAATCACTGAGTTTTGGGGAGTAGGAGCATTTTTATTTATGAACATTCTCCATTTATTGGATGGAGGCCTATTTTAAAAATATGCATATCTAAATTCAGCAGGAAAAAAGCAATTCCTTCCTTTTCAACTTTTCACCTACTTTTAACATCCTTGATGGGTCCTAGGTATGCTCTGAGCTTGGTTGTTTTCTTGAAGACATTTCATTATCCAAACTAGATACCATCATTAGTGCTGATAAAGTTACCTAGTTTGGGTTAATGAAATGTCTTCAAGAAAACAATCAAGCTAGAAAAGGTCCCAAATTTTATAGAATTGTTTATTCTCTTGCTCTCTAATTTCAAATGTCAATCTACTCATCTCACCACATTCCAATATTTTCTTAATAATTTCTTCCTGCAATGGTATTTTCTCATTTTTCCAATTTTTAGCAAATACAATCCTAGCCGCTGTTAATACATTTACAATCAGATATTTCAAGTCTTTACTGTATGTATCAAGTAGGATTCCCAATAAAAAGATCTCTGGTTTCAAATCTATGTGTTTCTTTGTCATTTTTTCCAACCACATGCGGATTTTAGTCCAGTATTTTCTAGAGTCCTCACAAGTCCACCACATATGGTAATATGAGCCAGGTATCTGATGACATTTCCAACATTTTTCAGATTTATTCTTGAACATTCTTGCTATTCTTGTCGGGGGAAAGTGCCACCTGTAAAACATCTTATACAAGTTTTCTTTATAAGCTATTGACATTGTCATTTTATAATTTTGAGACCACAATTTTTGCCATTTCTCTATATCAATCCCATATCCAAAATTCTTCCCCCAAGCAATCATTGTTTCTTTAACTTGTTCTTCCTCTAGTTTAATTCCCAGTAAATAACCATATAATTTTTTAATCACCTTTTCATCAGTACCTGTCAAAATCTTATCTAGATCAGTCAGTTTATCATAGAATCCCTCTGTTTTAAAATCTTCCATCATACCTTGAATGTATTTGCGCATATGAAAACCAATTCATCTTTATACCTTGTTCCTCTAGATTTTGCATCAATTTTAGTTCATCCTTTTCATCCAATATTTCCCCAAACTGTTTGTTCCTTCTTATAAATTATAGGATAGGAAAATGCTTCAATGGTCGATAACCAAACTGGAATTTTCAAATAACATTGTCTTTTGATCTTCTTCCAATTTAACCACAAAGACTCCCGTATATAATGTCTTCTAAAATAACCCTGTGTTTTAGTTCCCTTATATCATAAAAAGGCATGCTACAAATTTATTTATTTTATTTATTTATTGGAATTTGTCAAACAAAAATGAGAACAAGAATAAGAGAATAAAAATAGAATGACAGGGACAATAGGCATGTTAGTGCACTTATGCACACCTCCTCTACTGACCACTTAAGTATGAAGTAAGATCCATGGAAGTCAATTTGTGACTGAAACTGTGAAAATTTGTAGCTGAGACAACTGAATCAGGTAGGGCATTCCAGACATTGACAACTCCTATCACAGAAATCATATTTTTTACAGTTTAGAACGATTTACATTGAGTTTAAAATGGTTGTTCGCATGTGTATTATTAAAACAGAAAAAGTCATTTACAGATAAAACATTACTATGTATAATTTTGTTTAGAATACCTAAATCTGACCACAAGCGATGAAGTTCTAAGTTATTCCAAACCAAGAATTTTGAGCCTAGTAGCATAAGAAATTTTATTATGTACAGAAGAGTGCAAGACTTTTCTCATGAAGTACTTCTGAACCTGTTTGATTGTACTGATTGTACTGAGATATAGTGGGGATTCCAAACAGTTGAAAAATACTCTAAAATCAGTCTAAAATATTCTTTATTGGTGTAACGTTCTTGTTTTTTTCACTCTGTCTAGTTCTTACAGGGGTGCTATGAATTATATTCAAGTATGTATTTTCAATAAATAATTTTACTCTCCATATCCATTTTTTACCAGGGCCCAGGAACCTCTCAGTGTGCATCCTTTTTAGTCAGCTGAATAAATATCCATAATATTACAGGACATACTTTGAAAAAAACCACACATTTTTAATATTCTAAAGAGTTTACAATTTACCTTTTTTAAAAAAACTTTCCTAATGTTGTTCGGTAGAGAGTACAGCCCTGTGGGTTGCCTTGAGGGATTATCTGATCAAACTTTGACTCTTGGCAAAAGATTTGAAGAGGTGGCCATGCTGTTCTTTGAGAAACAATCATTAGACTACTTTTCCTAATTTTTTTGAATCACCAGAAATACTTGGCAGTTCACAATAATACATCAAGATTTTCTTGTTGCTACTGTACTGTTAATAATTTCCCAAGCTGGATTATTATATTCTGGGTTGGGCCACTTCAGAGGACAACATGGAAATGTCTGCTGAACTGGTTGCAACATGTACCTTGCTTAATGTGAATTAATTATCAGTACAATTTCAAATCCACATAAACATTTCTCACATTGTACACTTATAATGAAAATATAACTTCTCATTCAACACTTATTTCTCAATTGATAATAGAGTTAAGCTATCCAGTGTGGAGATAACTTGATAAAAATTGTAGAACATTCAGAAACAAGCTTCCTGCTAGAGTGAAATTGTATTTTATTTGGTTAAATATCAAGAATAATGAGAACAGAGGTACTTGTTGCATACTTTCATCCTTGAATGGAAGGACTGAAGAGACATTTAAACCACATTATATGGGATGAAATTCCAGCCCTCATCCCTTCACTCTGGAAAGTGTGTTTAAGAATATGACAAATGGCCATAGTGGGTGCGCACTATACCTTGAATTGATAACAAGTGAAGCAAATTTGATGGGAAGTTTAAGCAGAGGTGCATAAGTATGTGTATTTGCATGTGTCTGTCTGCATGTGTGTGAAACTAGATGCATAAATATGTTCATGATAACCTGTGAAATCCAGTCAACACACACACACATCTATATCTATCTATCTATATTAGATAGTATTCATTTTTTCGGGGGGGGGATAAGCATATTATTCAGGTTGCTGCTATAAATGTTAACAAACTTTTCAAGTCTTATTTTCTAGTTCTTAATTTTAATATAATAGCAAAATCAACATAAATCATAAGAATATTAATATATCAGAGAAATATTGGTGTTGCTGTTGAGGACATCCAATAATTAAGTGCATCACTATTAACTCAGCACTGGTTTATAACACAAGATTTTAAGTCCTCACATTATCTCATATGGAACTGATCTTTTCCACTTGTTTTTCAGAATAATTCCTGCAAGAGTCACTGCAACAACTGCAAGGACAGCAGCAGCAACAATGTAAGGTACATGGAAATCAGGAGTTGCCAAATTTTCCTGGGCTTCTGGCTTTGCTTCTGCAGAAAAATCAGAAGAAAATGATAGTACATCATCTACTTGAACTGTGATTAAAAAAACTTCCTAGAAATTAGTGGTCAATTAATCATAAGTCAATATGCTTATAACCAAATTGAAAACTGTGATCAGGAATAATAAATGCTGCAGGACAGGCAGTGGTAATCAGGACTGCGGCTACAACAGTAATTTCGAATTATTTCTTGCCTTCTAGCAATTCTCCCAATTTTTCATGCTACTTGCCCTATCATCTTGAAAGAACTGAGTGGTACTGATTATTTTTAGAACCATGAAAGAAGTTTTGATTCAGTTTACCAAAGTTTCTGTTCTGAACACCATCCTTCATAAGTTCGATGGGGCCAATAATGACATCTAGGTTTTCCTGATAGGAGTCTGTATCTCTCTTGGATCGGAGTAGACAGCCTCGATTGCATCTTGAGTTATAGTCATAGGATCTGCAAACCACCACTTTACACTGCAGGTAAACTGATGGATGCCTCCCCATGAAGGCAAAGGCTTGGAAGGAAAAGCGAAGAATATTTTTATAGGGGGAGTAGTGAGTCTGATAAGTAGATTCTTTAACACACCTGCATGAAAACAAAATAAAGGAAGATTTATTGGCTTTAATTAGCACATCAGTTATTGCAATTATTATATTCCAATTTATAAAATTTATTTTACATACTTTTCACATTAAAATAACCCAAATGAAATGAATGTGCTTTGTATGGAAGTAAAAAAAAAAAGCATCCTGTATAATATTGATACATCAGGTTGAATACATTTATGACCATGCCCATGTTTCACATCAGAGGACCCTTCCTGGGAAATCCAATGTATCTGATAAATATACAGAGGGACTTATAGTTTTCACTTATTAATTATAGCTATGCACAAAATTTAAATTACAGTCCTGTTTATTATGTTATAATCTTGTTTCACATATTTTATTAATCTTCTTAGGCTGCTTTTTATCCCATTTACTAAGCTAAGTAGAAAAATTAGCCAAGCTTGACTGATCTCAGAAAGCTAAGCAGGATTTGGCCTACTGGTATTGTTCAGAGAAAACTGGATAGGTCAATAGGTTCACCAAGAATCAAGAATCACCAAGATCATCACTCATGGCATAGTTCAAATTTACCCTATATGATTTAGGGTCTTTGGTCTCATTGGACCACAAGAATATCATTACCATGGTTAGGTTGCATATAAAATTATGCTCTGATTTGCCTGCTTTGAAGGCATAATTGAAAGCTCTGATTAAGTGCCACTGCTTCTAGATAATGTTCAACATAGGATCTTTTATTGTTCTTTCAATTTTAAATCTTTGTTTTCTCAAGAAAAATAAAAGATGCATATCTTTATAATGTCAATTCAAAATTTGAAATAATGCCAGGTTAGAACAAGTAAACCTTAACTTTTGATGAAAAAGTCTATCCAAACTACTTGCCAAAGGATTTGTCAATACACATATGTTCTGATTCAGAATTATTTACCAGGAACAAGGAACACTGCAGAAGCTTGGTTTCAGAAATGAATAGAAGTTTCACATGCAACCCATGTCACTGGAATATCTTCTGATTTTAATCTCAAGGAAATAAATATATTGCTGTAATTAAATTCTTCAGGGTCAAAATCCACAGATGGCCCTTTGGCAGCATGCTATATGCTGTACTCCAAGATGTAGTGGCTGAAGAAAGCCAGAATTAAGTATGACTTGATTTAATGAACACATATGTTTGATGTAAATAAGTTCCTTATTTAAGAATTTTCTTTCTGTGGCATTAAAAATGACAGTCAGATAAAAATCTGCAAAGGTCTACAGAAAAAATATGAAATTCGTCTATTATGGGTCTCGGGTTGCATATTCCTGGTTTAAATGTAGCTACTTTAAAAACACTTAACTGGTTAAATAAAACAAAAGAAAAGCAAAAGGATGGGGGGGGTGAGAGAAAGGGAGTGAGTGAGTAAATGAAAGTGAGAGTCAGAGTGAGAAAGTGTGTGTGTGTGTGTGTGTGTGTGTGAGAGAGAGAGAGAGAGAGAGAGAGAGAGAGGAACAAATGAGAATCTATGCTGTCTGGTTCTCTTTTTCAAAAGGCCCAGAACTTTCTAGAGTACTGGAACTCAGGGCTCCTGGATAATTAATATGGACATTCCCAATGGAAGGGCATTTGGTTATTTCAGCTTTAGGCCTTTGCCTTTTGTATATATAACAGTAGCAAAATAGAGATGGAAAGTAAAACACTAGGTGAGCTACAGGAAGTAAGCTGGTAGATGGGAATGATATTACTAACACTTCTGTGGCTTACCACATTCAAACCCATAACAAAAGTGAATCCTCTGCAGAAAATCTAACACAAATTAGTGACAAAACACTATTCTCTTATAAGGGGTGAGGGAGAATTTCTAAGGTCAGAATGATCCTGAAATTTCAAATGTGTTAACAAATAGTTTCCTGTTAGATATGGTCTAGCTAGCAAAACAGTGCAACCTTTCTAGAACATTTGGCCAGGCATAATATTATGTACTGAGGCATTTACTGCTAGAATTATGTTACATACAAATTCCAAAAGAGAGGGAGAGAATCACATTGCCATGAAGATACAATTGCAATGGGATTGTGAATATTGTTTCTAGTCTGATCTACCTTGCAGGATTGGCCATATTTTAACCATCAAATAACTATACCACATAGACATTGGGAGAATTAAAAGCAATCAAAATTAATGTATTCCCACATTTTTCCACAAAACCAAATCACCTTAAAGAAGTTGAAGTCCTTACCCATTCTTGATAATATCATAAGTTAGGTTTGTAAAATTATTGTAAAAAGGGGATGCTGTACAAGTATCCAAAAACAGCTGCAGGTTGGAATCTGAACTATAGAGATATGCTTGCAAATATAACCTTTGATTTAATACAACATAATAAGGCATATCATTTACTGGTTTCCAGAAGGATGAGTCATAAAATGTAAGGTTCACACTATATTGGCTATATTGTGTTTCATTAATCTCTTCTGTTTGCTGAGCGATATACACTGTCTCTATCCAGGTGTGTTGAAGCATCTTGCAGTTGACATGAACAAGGAGATCTGGTATCCTTCTTATGAAGTCTTGTGAAGGGGCCATTGCAGAGATCTCATTTGAATATGTAATAGTATCAGCATCAACCTGTTTGAAACACAAAACAATTGATGTATGATACTTTTTATCTGGTCAATCATGTTAGAGATGCTATAAAGATATTGACTGTGCAAATAGATGTTGGTCAGAAGGCATTGCCATATTCAAAATGTCCATGAAAAACTGAGCTACACTGAGCTAAGAAAATAGAGAAATGATTGGCTACAGAGGACAAAATGGGTTCTATCAATCATTGTGCTTTGAGCTCCTGCTATATGTCACAAACACATTTCAATTTGGAGCATTGTCCTAAATAAATCCCTGAATGATTGAATGCCCCCTACTTCTGTTTTAAGGGGAAAAAAAATAAAAGAATTAATGAGTGAGTGAGCCATGCAGCAAAAATGTTCTAAGAAGTCTTCATACATCTCTTCTGGTCTGACATCCATTATATGGTATGTTGAATATAACATAATATGGTGTGATCCTTGGTCTGCAGTTTGGATCCTTCAAGCTGACGCTCCATGGATTATAGCCTTGAGAGTTCAGATAACTTCTACTAATTACAGCTTCCATATAGGTTGGCTGACAAACAAGAGCTGTAAAGGAGGAAAAAGAAATCTTATTGCTGCGCTGAAATGCATATGGTATGGCAATAATTTATTATTATGCTAACTTTATGAATCTAACACCATCTCAGCACAAAATAACCAAATTTTGCCTGCCAAATAATTTTACATATTCTGCAGTTTAATTTTTGCTTCAAATTGAAAGCATGCTGCAAAGATGCTTTCTAGGCAACTATGAAAAAACAGTCTCTGGATCTTGCCCACCATACTCCACTCATGTCTACATCTGGATATTGAATTAATTTGGCAAAGTTTTGCTTGACTTCTTTTATATCTAACTCCACTTTTAAAGGTTTCTCAAAAATTGAAGGGTAATTATATGACCAAAATGCTTATTCTCTGAAGCACATAAGCTGAAATCTCAAAATAATCAATAACACTATGCTGACTAATACTTTTTCATGGCATTACTTTTTTATGGCATTATGATCATAGTATAGCAAAAGACCTGAACATCTTTGCTAAGAATCAGCTTCTGAAATTTGGCTCGAAGTTAGATGTTAGATCACATGAAAATCACATGTTAGCCACTCTAGAATATAAATCTTAGTTGTTTGGAACTACACTCATTCTTCATTCCAAGGATATTCACATTTGATCAACTATCTAATCTGTAGGTATAATTGCCCATGCTTATAGGTATCCGATTCAAAACTATTCTACTTTACAAACCTTCCATCAGGGTACACCAAAAGGAAAAATTAAAAATGAAATAAATTGTGTCTCATTATGCCAAGATTGAATTAGATGCAAAGAATTCTAATGAAATTCTAAATAATATTCAAAAGGTCAATAAATGAAAAGGGAATGTTATATTTACTTATATCTTGATCTGTAGAGAAGCTGTAATAGTTTGCAATAAAGCCTCTTCTTGTAACACTACTATCAGTATGGAATTTAATTGTCATCATATTGGAACTTGATGTAAAAGTGTGATAGGAGCCATAACAAATTCTCCCCAGCAGTGAGGCAGTATGGAGAGGTCCATCATAGATTTCAACATAATCGCAAGTGCATCTGAATCCACCACATTCTTCTAACCTGGAAAGCAAAACAGGAGTATAGTGTTTACATGTTCAATGTGTTCATTCAGTACATACAATTACTTCAATACCCCAAGACAGAAGCTTTATTTTGTGAATGTTAGGTAGTGAAATTCTCTCTGAGATTAGTGCTAGTAAAAGGAGATATAACAAAAACAATATCTGAACTTGAAACTTCCCAATTCATATAAGGTAACCAAACCATTTTCAATTCTCTTCAACTGGTGAAATGCCCACTCATTAATTAATCAATTAATTGTGGTGATGCTGGTGTGGTGATGATGATAACAATTTATAATAAACAATAATTTGGATAAAATTGTTAACGTACTTGGTACAAAATTTGAATGTATATCACTGACATATTAGTCCAATAATATGGAACTGGATAGACTTTTTCTGAGAAAATATTTTGGAATATGTAAAATGAGGAATAGGGTTTAACATGACTTTTTAAAACTTGAGAAATCTAAAACTGCATGTTGATTTAAGCATTCCTCCTCTTACCACATCCTTTCTCAATATTTTTGTCAGATGACTTTGATTTATAGTAGACAGAAATTATTGAAGTGATTTTATATTAAATGATTATTTTTAGAGACTGAAACAAAAATTGATCGGCCCATTTAAACATTTCAAGCATTGGATCAAACTTTGGATGAATTCCTCTATATGTGTGGAGCCTGGACCTATTCCTCTATTCTTAAAAAGAGCTAAAGTTCTGCCATGGATTAGCTAATTACCTCTAGCCTCAAGTTTACAATCTGATTGCATTTTGTAAAATGTGCCCTGTAATTTGAACTCACCTTGACCTATTTAATAAACCAGTCTTGGTATTGTGATGCATGCATTAAAAACAGCTTTAACTTACACAAAATTCTGCCAGGTAAGTCTTATTTGGTAGTTGTTTTTAACTTGTATTTCCCATACACAGTCCACATTGTTTGGATAGTCAGAAGGATAATGTGGACTTTTAAATGATCCTGATGGGTATCCAAGAAAACCACCACAAGATTCTTCTGATACTGTTACTAAAAAGAAATCAAAGAAAAACACATCAGTATCATGCACAGCTAGAATTCAGAGGACCATACTATAAGGAAGACATTGATCTTTGAATTTTTCTTAAATTCAGAATTTTGGCGCCTTCCAGCTTCATGTTCTGAAGGAACCACAATGTCTAAAGCCCAAAGTCACTTGTTTTGAGAGATGGGGAGGTATATAAACTAGACAAACTAATAACAGTGAATTAACCTGAGGTGAAAAAGAACCGGAAGCCTACTCTATAAATTCTTTGGATTAAGGATAATTTTATCAATGATGCTTTCTAAACAGTTCTTATTAGAAACTTTGTTATTTCTATTCATCTGCTAAAAAAGGAGCAAATATTTATGATCCAAAATCAGTTTCTACTTATAGAAAGAGAAATGGAAGTCTGACTTTCCCCCATTTATTTATTTTTCTTAACATAAGTCTTAAACTAAAAAAAGTTATTAAACTGAATTACTCAGTTTTAATCACTACTGCATTGGAAGTCAATATCTGTTTTACCAGGGCTATTTCTCTTCCTAAACTAACACTGTGAAGCTTTCTAAATAACTAATGACACACAGAAGGCTGATTCTCTAAATGAAGTTGAAATATAGTAATAAAAACAATTATAATGTAATTAGATGTGATTTATTTTTTCTACTATGTAACTTTTGTAATAAATCAACTAGGAAGAAAAAAGAGGGCATGAATTAACAACACAAATCCTATATAAAACAGATCATTCAATGTCTATAAGACCACTTGGACTGTGATTCTGAAAATAAGCACCACAGAACTTAGTGTGGTTTATATATATACTGAATTGGGACTGAATTGTTTATAATTTATTTATAAGTTTATAAGTTAGGTTATAAAAAATAAAAATGAATATAGGGAGGCCTCGACATGCAACAGTTCATTTAGTGACCATTCAAAGTTACAACAGCATGGAAAAAAGTGAGTTACGACCATTATTCACACTTACGACTATTGCAACATTCCCATGATCACATGATCAAAATTTAGAAGCCTGGCAACTGATTCATATTTATGAGGGTTACAGTGTCCCAGGGTCATGTAATCATCTTTTGTGACCTTCTGACAAGTTAAGTCAATGGGGAAGCCAGATTCATTGTTACTAATTTAACAATTGCACTGATTCATGTAGCAACAGTGGCAAGAAAAGTCAACAAATGGAGCAAAACTCAACCGTTCATTTAGCAACATAAATTTTAGTTCAATTAAGGTCATAAGTTAAGGACTGCCTGTATAACCTAATAGCAACAAAATAAAATATGTGTAACTAAAGTCAATCAAATCATAGTTTCATTAGATAATAATACAAAGGGTTTAGAGACTAAATATAGAATTTATTCATGGTTTGGGAGCTTTCTTCAATTTTATATCTACAATAATTCTGTATGATAGGGAAGACTGCAAGACAATGGATGTCCCAAAGTAAACTTTGAGTACTTTGATCAAAGGTGTACTTAATAATTCCAGGAAATGGCCAAATATATCTGTTTATACCAAGTACACTTCCTCAAAGACAACATTCCATATGTATTTATTTGAAAAAGTTTATATGTTGCTCTGAGCAGTTTACAATCCTACTATACATAAACAGGATTAAAATAGCAGAAATGTCAATCTAGTACTAAAAGCATAAAATAAATGCTAATAGTAACTAATAGTACTCATAAAAGAGGAAGAATCAAAATCTATATGTCTCTATCTAACAAGGCCTATGGAAATATTCAAGTTTTTATCATTTTATTAAGTCTCAGTAGCTTTGAGAAAAACAATTTATTGATAGAAAATCATCCCAGAGATATCCAAGTTTGGAGCCATAAATATCTTTAAATATGACAACCTGTGAATTGCAACCAATTTGCTTGGTAATGAAGGCAGCTCTCAAAATAGCATTATATAGCCAAAGTTAGATGAGTTCATAACTAGATGAATCTGAGCCTCTGGAATCTGGTCTAGCTGTAGCTTCCAAGTAGCTCACAAGAGCTGTATGTAAAACACATTGCAATAGTTCATATGACAGACGAATTAGCTATAAATGATTCTGAGAAGTGTCTTCTGATGCAGAAAAGGTTATTCCTTCTGTACCAGGTGAGGTGGAGAAAGCCCCTCTTGATTGAACTGCTATTTGCTTTCTCTATGAGGAACTATGAACCCAGAAGGCCTTCTAAATTATGACCCAAATAGTATGGAAAAGTGGGATGACAAAACATGGCCTAGTACAGGGCTGTCAAACTCCCAGCCTGTGGGCTGGATGCATTGCACTGGCCATGACCACACCCAGTTTAGCGAAGGGGAAATACATCCCAATACATCACATGACGTTGCCATGATGACATGAGTTTGACAACCCTGACTTAGAATGAAAAATGGAATATACCTAGAGTTTGATAGACCTACAGGTTCAGTACCTGCAGGTCAGAACCTACAGGTTCTATATCTTATGGAAGTAATCCTTCTCTCAATTACAAGCTTAAAAAACAGTATCGGTTGAATCATCATTAACATTCATGTTTCACAATCATACTGATTGTGTTTAATGTTTAAGTATTTATTTATTATTAATTGTAAGTATTAAGTAAAGTAACTGAGATCGTGATAAAAATAATCCAATAAATAAGACATCATTTGTTATTCTTAGCCACAACAAGGGTGGGTGCCTGGCAGTCTTATCTGAAGGAGGTTCGAAAGTGAGGCATATTTGAGGCATTCTCTGTCATGGTGATTTGTACTAAAATGTCCCTATACTAGATTCTTAAATATCAACTGTTGCCTATTTCATCATCCCAAAAAGCTACATATAATCAGTAACACCCTTAAGAGCCAATAGAAATAAAACAGAAATACAGGAGAAAGAATGTTGAAAGCTCTTTGAACTGTTGAGGAGCACTTCACAAATCAAAGCTACCCTCAGGTCCCAAAGTGCTGAATCACATATAAAGTGCTCAGTGCAATCACCTCATGGGCCTTCCCACATTAACTGACTACATGGCTGTCCATCTTTGATAAGATTGCCACTTAAGAAAAGCTGCAGTGCTGGGAGTAACCCCATATTAGCAGCAATTCTTGTAGAAGTATCACCTGTGCATTCACAGTCCTTGTCATACATCTCTTGAAGGCCTTCAGAGAGGTTCTTCTGAGACTTCTGCAAAATTTAGTGCATCAATATTTTAGGAAGTATATTCAGAGAGAACTTGTAATTACTTTTCAAAGAAAGCTTTGTTTGGTTTTGCACAGCCATAATAACCAAGGAGCTAGATACCAGTATATCTGAAGGACCAGTTTGGAGAAAGCTGCATAGGTAATCCTCAGGTAACAACTCAATGAAGACTGGCAATTCCACTGCTAAGCAAAACAGACACTAAATGGGAATTCATGTGACCTTCTATTTCCTGGCTGTAAAGAGACAAGATTATGCAGTTTCACATCTAGTTTACCTCCTAACCACTCTTCCATCTTTGCAACACACTAGCACCTGCTTACTGTCTTGTACGTATTGAGAACAATGCAATTTGTGAAAGTAACAACAGCACTTTCTATCACAAGGCAAAAATAACACAGAAAATGTTTACCTTTGAACATAACTGCTCAACACGGGTACTGTAGCCTTTCACTTTGAGGTGGAGAACAGATGAAAGCTGAAGAGAAAATACTAAAGTAGGATTGTCACATTTCAAAATGAGAGTGAGCCTTTGTAAATCCCTGCAAGTTCCATTCCTATTCATGTGTGTGATGTTATCCTGTCCTTTTGGGGTTTTTTGGAACCTCAGCTTTCTTTCTATTCACCATCAAAGTTAACTGAAGCCCCCAGTTACCAGAATGCCCCTGCCTGAAATAGATCCTTCTTTGAAGGGAAGGAAATTGTTCAGGAGACTGGAAGACAGATTTTGGTACTATTATAGCCAGAAATCAAGAGTGAAGTGTTCTTTCCTAATAAATAATCTGTTTTAGGACCTAAAATATCATAAAGGTGTTTGTCATGCTACACGTTTTCTTTCAGGTAGCAGTGAACTCTTTTTATTTTTACAAGAATACATGCTAAAGAAGGACATACAGAAGCAGACATAATTGCTACATTTCCTTCATTTGCTTGGAGAGTGCTAAAAAATAAACAGCCAAATTGCTGTTTATTTTTGACAAAATAAACATTTGACAGTACATTTGACAAACGAGAAGTGTATTTATCTTCAATTTATTTCTTTTGCATTAGTGAAAATCGTCAATTCTGTCACATACACTTCAGTCAAAAGGATTAAAGTCCATTAGTACAGGAAGAACTGTTTTATCAAAATGTCTTTCTCTTCCTTAAAAAAAAAGTGGTAAAATGTTATCAGTAAGGTTGGAGCTTATGAGTATAAGGTAAAGAAAGCAAATATAAATTAGCTATGAGGAAATCCATTGAATAAGTAGACAAAGGAATTAATTGTCAAGACAGTGGATTTTGTAATTCAAGTGCATTATTAAAAATGTCAAGTTAAACTTCTAAAAAAGATGGATTATAATTCTTTCTTCCTCAACCAAGAACATGACTTGTGCAAAAACCACGTGTACAAGTTCAATGATATTTATGGCATTCTATAATAGTGAACATTTTTGGAGGAAAATTGTCATAAATGGGTACTATTATAGAAAGCATAACAATCTTTTCAATTTTCAAAAAATCACTCTGATTTTTTGTGTTCATTGCTTCGATTTTCGCTAATTAACTTTGCAAGAAGATTGGTGCTTACAACCAGTGGTCCCTCTGGACAAGAAGACAATAATTTATGATACTCAGAGTTATAGCCTAACAATCTTCTTAAATGTTTGAGCTACTTGGAAATATTGGACATGTATGAAAGTGGGCGGTACCACCCCTGGGGAGCAGTGGGATGCCTTAGGGGAGCGCTGAGAGGCAAGTGGGGTGGCAGAGGGGCGCTATGAGGCGGCAGGGGGTGCTGGAGGTAACTGGCAAGGCACAATTAAGGGGTGAGAAAAAAATCTCCCCTCTGCCACGTTCGAGGCAGGGCCTGTAGGATCATCCTATTGACTTCCATGCTCTGGTGCAAGGAGCTCTGCCCCCAAATTCAGCGTTGGGAAAGGAGAGCAAAGTCAAAGTGGCTTTGCTCTCCTTTTCAAATATCCCGCTGCCACTGTGTTCCACCCCATTGAGCCCCTTGCACCAGAGGAACCTGTCCAAGCATGTCCAAATGGAGCAGTGCACTAAGTCAATGGGGTGAGCCTGAGAGAGGGAAAGAGAGAGGAAAGAGAGAGAGAAAAAAAGAGAGAAGGAAGAAGAGAAAGAGAAAAGGGAAAGAAAGAAAAGGGGACAAAGAAAGAGGGGGGATGAAAGGAAGGACAGAAAAAAAAAAGAAATAAAGAAGGAAAGAGGGACGGAGAAGAAAAATAATGAGATATCTATTCTCATCCAATCACCTGCTCCAGTAGGGTTAGAAGGGAGTGTGTGCGTGTGTGTGTGTGTTCTCCTTTATTTTACCAGTAATTTACCAGTACATTTTGTTTTTGCCTTCTTCAGAATGGGCACTGTAATACATTGGGGAAAAGTAATTTTTTAGGGTGGAGATCTGGTCCAATGGATCCTGTTTAAAGCCTCAACAAAATGTGAGAGCTTCCTGAAAATCTTGGCCATGTTTCATCCACAAAACCTTTAATTAATAGAAGCCAAAGATGTTTCAATGTGCTGGCAAAGATGCTGGCAAAGATGTTTCAATGTGGAAAAGGGCCTCTAAACTAGGCCTCATTTCAATCTGATGCCTCAGCTCTCTCTCTCTCTCTCTCCCCTCCCCCCTCCATCCTTCCATGCCCCCCCTTCTCTGACCCCTTTTCTTTCTTTCCCTTTTCTCTTTCTTTTATTTCTTCTCTCTTTTCTCTCTCTCTTGTTCCCTCTCCCAGGCTCACCCCATTGATTTGGTGCACCGCTCTGCTTGGACTTGCTTGGGCAGGTCCCTCCAATGCAGCAGGCTCAATGGGGTGGACCTGTGGGGCCAGCACCTAGAACGCAGCAGTACCGGCACATTTGAAAAGTAGAGCAAAGCCAGAGGTCAGTAATTTTTGCTGCAAAGAATCACAAAAGCTTCTGGGTTGTGCACAAGAAGGGACACACATATCAATGCAATTCAGCAACATAAAATAAAGAAATACAAATAAAACAAATCAACAAGAATCAGCAGAGCATCTCTGATTAGATTTTATTCACTACTAGAATCTAATCAGAGATGCTTTGCCAATTCTAGTCCAATGACCTGCTCCAGCAGGGTTGGAAGGGAGTATTTGTATATGTGTGTGCATGGCTGTCAAAACTCCAAAAACAGGTCAAGTAGTTCTGGGGAGGCCAGTCATAAATTAGAACACTTGCTAATCAACCAGCCATTCAGTGAGGACCACTTGTATTTGGTTTGTCAGTCACCAAACCATGCCCACCCAGTCACGTGACCAGCAAGACACACCACCAGTCACACCACCAGCAAACCACTTGTATTTGGTTTGTCAGTCACCAAACCATGCCCACCCAGTCATGTGACCAGCAAGCCACACCCACCCAATCACGTGACCAGCAAACCACATCCTCAAATTAGGCCATGCCCACAGAAATTTGAATCCCATCCCTGGATGGGGGGCATTGAGGATGGGTTTGTAGCACCAAGGGGGTGGTGGACTGAAAAAGTTTGATTAGAGTTAAGATACAAGGCTGGCTTTGGGACTTTGAGGTCCTGCCCAAAAGATTGTATTCTAAACATTTTCCTGTGACATTCCATTGGCAGATGGAACAGATTTACACTGGAGATTAAAGATTACACAGGTAGTCCTCCACTTACAAACACAGTCAAGCCCAAAATTTATGTTGCTAAGTGAGACATTTGTTAAGTGAGTTTTGCCTCATTTTAAGATATTCCTTGTTGCAATTGTTGAGTGGATCACTGCAGTTATTAAGTTAGTAACATTATTAAGTGAAACTGGTCTCCCCATTGACTTTGTCAGAAGGTCACAAAAGATGATCACATAATCCTAAGTCACTGCAACCATCATTGATATGAATCAGTTGCTGATATCAGAATTTTGGTCAAAGCTGCAAGGGTTGTAAGTGTGGAAAAAGCTAAAAAAACCCACTTTTTTCAGTGCTGATATGACTTTGAACGATCACGAAATGAACTATTATAAGTCAAGGACTATCTGTAGTCCTCAAAGGACTTGTTATAGAGTTCTTGGATACTATGGTAAACCATGGGCAATTTCAACAAGTACTTTATCCAGAGAGGATCTGTATATGTGGTACACCACAAATAGAGGATTTCACTTATATTCTTCTTGACTGCTAACCAAATGTTTCAGCCCAGTCTTTAAAGTTGCTAATTAATAGAATATCCCATTGGTACCTCATTCAGTACATTCATTACTTTCTCCAAGGTAAAAACACACAGTAAGAAAGACTGTCAAGTTTATAGCTAAAGTCATTCAACTGAGAGCTTCTTATCTAGATCAGATTCGGGGTCAACTGTCAAGGGATGATCGTATCTGATTATTTCACTGAACTTTTGTTTAATATCGCTGTATGCTGCATTATTTAATTTTATTTTGCTTGATACATCATTAGAGTAAACAATAAATTAAACTAAGCTAGTGAATAACAGCTTATGTTAACTGACACGCCATAGAAAAGTGGAAGTGGATTCTCCCCTCCTTATTGTCCTACTTTCAATTTATGCTGTTCATGAAAATACATTTTAAGTCCCTCTTCATTACCTGGCCAATGCGTTGTAGGGTTTCTCCCTGAAAGAGAAAAGTTTATGATTGTTTTAATATGAATTGAATTACTGTTGAAACAATATATCTATTCCTAAGGCACATTGGTATGCCTATGCTGCTAGCAAAATAAAAAGCAACTTTTTTTAAAAAAAGTTTCACTTTGTTGCTATGCTTACAAATAAATATAAGTGTATTATAAATGATTGTCAGTTGTCTGTAACTAAACTTTGAAAGTCAAATTTTAAAAAATACCAGCATAATCATTTAAAATACATAGCGCTAGAAACATTAATAAATTAAATTTAAAAATGTTAGTAATCCATGGGACAATATTACAACATTCTGCTCCCAAAACCTGCAGGAATAAACCTCTTTTAATGACATTTCTGAAAAACAAGAAGGTAGAAACCGAAGAATGAATGAGATGTCTGTTTAAAGAATACCTACCAAGGAAAATCTACATTTATTCTGAATATGCTGTTAAGCTCATGACTATAAATCAGAAAGCATGTGATTGTTTTCGTTGAAACAAAACTCTTCCCTTGCTCACCTGCCTTTGATTTCTACTTGTCCTATGACATGCATGATTCACTAGGTTGGTTTTTTTTTAGATTTCCTGGCTCAACAATACAAAGGGGTTTACAAATTCTGAATGGGGGATCCACCAGGTCTTGTTAGCACAAAAATTGGGAATTACGATGTGGGCATAGGTTGGACAAAGCCAATATTTGATCTTCAGCATGTCACTAAGAAATGCATAAATGTCAGGTGCAAGGAATCAGAACAACTCTGTGAATATGTTACAGGTGTTATGTCTACCTTATATACAATTCAGTCATTCCACTCTATTGTAGTTGTTAGCTCTATCATTCCTCTCTGTTGTTTCCTGTATCACATTGACACTCTAAATTTCATCGCTATTGTTCCTGTGATGCATTTCCTGTTCCTGTTGCATTACTCACCCTCTCTAGTAAAATGGTTTCTGCACAGTGATGGTCTGTAGTGTGCTTACTTATCGTATATTTTGCTCCATAAGATGCACTTTTTTGTCTCCCAAAAGTGGGTGGAAACATCTGTGCATCTTTATGGAGTGGCGGCCCACCCGCCGGCCTCCACCCTTCATCTGTTTTTGGCCTCCTTGCATCCCATTTTCAGTTTCTGTGCCTCTCGTTTTTGCTCACTGCACGATCCATTTTTTGGCCTCGGAGGCCAAAAAAGGAACGCATCTAATGGTCAGGTGCGTCTTATACTGAAAAAACTATGGTACTCTACATGAAACAGAGTAAGCCAAAGTAGTATTTTTAAATAAATTTTTTTTTGTTGATCATCTGCTTAAAAGACTCTTGCCTTACTAACTCCATTCTCTTGGAAACAGGCAGATAAAGGCTTTAAGATTCTGGCCTCTTCCTCTCATGATGGGACCCCTCTTCACCCTCCCATCTACTCTAGATGGCGATTCACCACAAATAAATAAGAAAGATATTCGAACGTATCTTTGTTGAGTCTGAGAAATCATGGTATAACGTAAGTAAAGTTCAAATTATGGAATGTTTGCATAAATGCAGAACTGAAGGGGTTTTTAAATGAATGTAATAATGGATACAGATAGAAATAAGCATGCATGGGAATAAATGAAATGATTGGTGAATAGCTCAGCATTAAGACATTAATTAAGACATTAAGGATAATTGTTTAAGGCGGTCCCTTCTCCCTAGGGAAAATTGAATGAATAGTTGCAAGTTTTACATAAATGTAAAAACTTTTAGGTAACATAATTGGAGCAAGTAGACGAGTGTAAATAAAGGTGGTAAGAATAAAGGAGAGGAAATGGATGGAGACCTTTTGACATTGCAAGTAATAATTGAATGATAATGTGTGCTTTGTGTTTTGTTGTGAATACAGAAAATTTATTCTTTATTTACAAGTGTGAAAATAGCTATGTATAATAGTATAATGCTTTTGTACACTTCGTTATATGAAAATGAAAATTGGGTATGTCAGAAGAAATACAAAAGTAAATTGAATACAATATCAATAGGGTATGTAAGAAGTGTGCACATGAGAAATAGGACTAAGCATGAATAGGTGCATATCTTTTGAACAGATTCCCAAAACAAAGACATTGGAACTTTCAAATTCTTTAGGGAATTTATGAAATGTTGTAGGGATGTGCAGAAGCGAAAAAATAAAATTGTGAAAATGTACAGTGAATGGTGTAAAAAGAAGTTTAAGCAAGGTATTTCAGGCATTCTATTTCTTTAGCTTCTAATTTCTTATTCTTTTCTGTACTCTGTATAACACTGTTTATCTCAAAAGAAAATGGCATAGTGGCTCTGCATCTATGAAGGACTAAGTCTGCTGAGTTGAATGAACTGTTCGGCTAAGGATGTTCGTATACAGTTAGTCTTCGACTTATGAAGACAGATTGAATCCAAAATTTCTGTTGCTAAGTGAGAAATTTGTTCAGTAAATTTTGTCCCATTTTATGACTTTTCTTGCCAGTATTGTTAAGTAATTCACTGCAGTTTTTAAGGTAGTCACATGGTTATTAAGTGAATCTGGCTTCCTCATTGACTTTCCTTGTCAGAAGGTTGCAGAAGGTGATCATGTGGCCCTGGGACACTGCAACCATCATTTTGAATTTTGATCACATGATCATGGGGGTTCTGCACAGAGGTGGGATTCAAATTTTTTAACAACCGGTTTTGTGGGTGTGGCTTAGTTGGTGGGCATGGCTTGGTGGTCATGTGACTGGGTGGACATGGCTTGGGGGTCATCTTATTGGTTGGGCATGGCCAACTCAATATCACTCACATCGAGGCACATCTCCTCACCTGGCCTCTCATGACTGTGGGGATGCTGCAACAGTCATAAGTGTGAAAAAGGATCATAAGTCACTTTTTTCAGTGCCATTGTAACTCTGAATGGTCACTCCATACAAGCAAAGTACCAGCAAAGGAGGGGGGAAAACTCCAGTGACGTTCCTGAGATAGGAAGTCTAGTCCTGCCAAGAATGTAATAAGGGTTAAAGGAGAGGCAGTTTCTATAAGCAACACCAAAATGTTTCCTTCCTGTCTTCCTTACAGGATTAGGCCAGTAATTTCTTCTAACAACCAGTTCTCCAAACTGCTTAGAATGTTAACAACCGGTTCTAGCGAATAAGTCCGAACTGGTAGAATCCCACCCCTGGTTCTGCAGGATTCATAATGATGAAAAATGGTCATAAGTTCCTTTTTTCAATGCAGTTGTAACTGCACTGTCACTAAATGAATTGAGGGCTACCTGTACAGATCCAACAGAATTAGGGAGTTTCAGGAACTGGAATGGATTTAGAGTTATGGCAAGCTACTTGTCATGTTGACTACAATGGTATTTGAATTATGGGAATAACACTGAAGGATCTTAACCTTAATTATGAGGCTGACCTTGAAGGATTCCCACCCATTCAGGCTGATCTGTGAGTTTATCTTGATCAGGAGAACGATAAAAAGTCTCCTATTTATTTGGCTTGCTGGATCCAGAAAGACTTCCTGATTGAAGGGTGTGTACCTTGGCTTTCTCTGTTTGGGTCCCTTTTAGTTCCAGCTCTGGAATGTTCCTTGGCCCCAGCTAGTCTTTTGGTCACTTCTATCATCTGTCTTTGACCTTTGATTTCTGCTTGTTCCATGACAGAGGCATTTACGGTTCACTAGGTTGCTTCTTAGATTTCCTGGCTCAATTTTGACTTCCTGCCTTATCTTGGACATTTGCCTGCAGCACATTAATTATGCCATCATGGCTGTTTGTTATTAAGCTAATTTTAAAAAAACAAAACCAAGATGCCTGCTGTTAGTGATTATTTGGACAGAGAAAGCAGATAAATTATCCCTAACCTTGCTTCCTTACCTAAAAGATGTTTAGGAATTTTTCTTTTCCAGAAAGCTATATAAGCTATCAAAGCTATGTAAGCATTGTCCCAACTCTTCAATTGGGTATAAAATATTGTGAAATAGAAAGGACCGTTTTCTTGCACATTGTGTTTAAGGGGGATTATACCACAAAATTGTGTCACCTTAGTCTCAGTCATGACGCATATAAGTCTAGCAAAAGAATATGCTGTCTGGCAGTTTAACATGGGTTTTCCTACAAAGCTACAGCCATAACAGCTGTGTGAAGTAGAATGCTGAGAAGAACTGATTGGACCAAAACCAGTCACTGAACTCTATGATCAACTAGGAATTAGAATCTGAATCTTTGGTTCTTCCCTGTCCGAGACCAATACATTCTCTGCCAGCCTTGCTTCAAGATTGTGCCTTTTGGCAATTATCATTCCTGAAGATAGGTTAAAATGTTTGGATCCTTTGATGAGTTGTTTCCTTCAGGACTCTTCAGCTGCATATGAAATCCTACCTTCATTATTTGTAGCTAACTGAATTAGAATATTACACTTTAATTATGTGTTCTTAAATCAGATGCATGAATTAACTCTCATGCCAAACTATTTAAAAGCTGTAAATATAAAATGTGTTATAAATAGATTTATATTTCAATGACAAAGTAAGCAAGTACCTGAACAAATAACACCAGCATCCTCTTCGTGGTTGCAGTTGTGATTTCCCCAGCCTGCACTTCTGCATTCCCAAAGGTAGCTTTCATTCCCAGTGCACTGAACATTATCCAGGTAAATAGGGCCATATCCTTGACCAAAGAATGCTTCTGATGTTGCTCTGATGGCATATCCACATCCAAGTTGTTGGCATACCACATTGGCATCATACAGGTCCCATGAATCATCACAAACAGTCCCCCAGTCTTGGTAATAATGCCTAATTTCAACACGGCCTTGACAGCGACTTCCATTTACTAATCGGAGCTCTTGAGGAAAAAAGAAATCATATTGTTCAATCATAAACAGTCCCAGACATGGGAGAAAAATATTTTTACAATTGTACTTTTTGGTAGGAAACAGAATGAACAACAGCAATCAAGATTTGAAGATGTGAGAAAATGTATATCTTTATAGGGAGACAACCTTTTGATGTTTGTCTGCCATCACTAACCTAATGCATCAAAAGAAAAAAAGTAAGAGAGTAAGAAGATCATGATCAGAAAGAATGAAACATGGGATATTTTCACCATATACAAATTAATGAAATGTAGAGCCATAAAAGTCCTCCAAATAATTGGAAACCAGTTTGTAGTATGTTCTGTGTTGTTCCTCATCCTCTTATTGAAATGTTTTTTGTCTGAGGTCCTTCTTGGACAAGAAAATTGTTGCTACATCATAAAACATTTCTCAAATATTCTACATAAACTAAAATACTGCCAATAAACATTCTCAACTGAATGGAGATACTTTTGACAAAACAATCACAATTTTCATTTTATGCTTAAAAAATAAAAATAAGTATGGACTACGGCTTCAAAAATTTGCCAGCCTATGTTCTTTGGGACCATCATGGCCTACAATGGAATCATACATGGAATAAAAACCAAATGTTATTGCCATTAAAATCACTTTAAATATTTAAAATCACTTCTTCGAATTCTGATGCTGGACAGTAGATTGAAAATATTTTAGACAACAAAAACAGGCCATCTGACATTAAATGAAGTAAAATCCAACTGTTTACTCAAGTTCTAATATTGAAACCAATTTTTCAATAGCCATAACCTAATCTATTTCAAAGACAACAGTTATCACAGAAGGCCTGGGAGGAAAAAAAAGCAATTGAAAAGAGGCAAAAACAAAGCAAGATGCTTAGATTCCATCACTAACAACAAAACAAGGATTCATTGAAGCAATTGTTGACAAAACAGTCCTAGTGTAATGGTGCCCCTTTGTTCATATAGCATCAAAAAGGACTGAACAAATAAACAACAAACTTTTAAAGCTCTGGGTAAAGTGTGTTGAGATGGATAGGCTGACAATGGAAATAAAAGAGAGAGGAGAAACTGAATATTATGGTATAATTGGTGAAATAATATAAAGATATTACAGTGGAACAATATATATAAAGGAATATATACATGTGTGTGTGTTTGTGTGTGTGTGTGTATATACATATACATATGTATGTATGTATGTACGTATGTATGTATGTATGTATGAATTAAAATGTATGTAAATCATATTACACTGATAAGATGCAAAGAATGAAAATAGTGTTATAAAATGAGGAAAAATGTTTAATAAAAATAATATTTAAAAAAACAATAGCTCACTGTATCTACAATAGTAAATAAAATCTTCTTCAAGTCACAAAAACAAAAAAGAACCACCCAGATATATGACATTAAATGCACAATACTCATTCTCATTACATATTTAACAATATAAAAGGAAATTTAGAGATAGCTTGCATCTTGAAGCCAAGCAACTATGGATCCTTTAAAGGTTGTTGAGAATTCAATACTAAATAATTCTAGAATGGGATCACAAACATAAAAAGTGGTGCATGGGAAAAGGATCTTATACTCCAAATGGTTTACATTTAACAGATGAAACAGATCCTTAAAATTTTCTTACCAAGGGCTGCCGGTGATATTGATAGTGTCCAATGAGGACCTGCTAGTGAACAAAGATAAAGTATTAGATAGGCTATAGTGATAGATAAAGCATGAAGTTACATTCTGAGATCATATACTATACTACACAAGGTTAAAAACAGATTGATTTTGAGATTTTGAAAATGAAAGTATAGTCATCAAACTAGATGTACCAATAACAACTCCCCCCCACCAAAAAAAAAAAACAGATTACCCATAACAATAAGGAAACTTCAATCCAAAAAAAGATCACTCTGGCAGAAAAACAAATCTGGCCACGTTGCCAACTTCAAAAGCCAATACAAAAAATTATGCCACCAGATAAAGACTGAATACACCAATAATCACATTAAACAAGAGGAAAACCTTCTATGCACCAATTCCACCCACGCTTTTTACAATTTTGTAAACAACAAAAGACTCAAGTCCATCCCACCCCTGACAGGACCTAATGGTAAAGACTGCAATGACGACACCATTAAAGCCAACCTTTTTAACACATTCTTTGGCTCTGTATTTGTAAACAGCGGTGGATCATGCCCAGTATTTCCTAGCTGAACCACAGAAAACCACAATGACCTAATACATATCGATTTTACAGAAGACAATGTTGAAAAAGCACTATGCAATCTAAAACCATCTATATCTATTGGACCGGACAGAATATGTGCCTACTTCTTAAAAATGCTATCTACTCCATAGCAGAACCTCTAAGCATAATCTTTGAAAAATCTTTCAGGACCAGCTCCTTGCCTAACCTATGGTCACAAGCCATGGTCATTCCCATCTTCAAAAAGGAAGACCCCAGCCTAGTTGAAAATTACAGACCAATCTCCTTATGCTGCGTCACCTGTAAAGTCATGGAATCAATTATTAACCAATCCATCATCCTCCACTTAGAGACAAATAATCTGCTCTCTAATAAACAATTTGGTTTCAGAAAAAAACTATCCTGTAATTTGCAACTCTTACATTGCAAAAACATATGGACTACACAACTCGATCAGGGCAAAACAATAGATGGAATCTACATAGACTTCTGTAAAGCCTTTGATTCAGTGGTACACAACAAACTGCATAATTGGATAGAAGTATTCCTGTCAAACAGACAACAAATGGTCAAAATTGAGAGTGTCCTATCACATTCTGTACCTGTCAATAGTGGTGTCCCCCAAGACAGCATTCTAGGACCAACTCTCTCCATACTCTACATAAATGACCTCTGTGATCATATTAAGAGCAACTGTGTCTTCTTCATTGATGATGTAAAGCTGTTCAATACCACAGACAATACTGCTACCCTTCAAAAAGATCTTGACTATGTATCAGAATGGTCAAACAAATGGCAACTTCAAATCTCAACAAATAAATGCTCTGTCATACATATTGGCAAAAAATAAAATACAAGCTGAATAGTCAAGACCTTGCTGATGATCCAAGCTCTGTAAAGGACCTTGGAATACTCATCTCTAATGATCTAAGTGCTAGAGCCCTCTGTAACTACATAGTCAAAAAGGCATTAAGAGTTGTAAACCTAATCCTACGTACCTTTTTCTCTGGTAATATCACACTACTAACTAGAGCATACAAAACATTTGCTAAACCAATACTTTTGAATACAGCTCATCAGTCTGGAACCCACATTACGTATCTGATATTAGCATAGTTGAGAAAGTCCAGAAATATTTCACAAGAAGAGTTCTCCACTCCTCTACTCGTAGAATACCTTATGCCACCAGACTTGAAATTCTAGACCTAGAAAACCTTGAATTATGCCATCTTTGGTCTGATCTAAGTATGGAATATAAAATCATACATTGCAATGAATACTTCAGCTTCAACCATAAGAACACAAGTGCACACAATAGATACAAACTCAAGGTTAACCACACCAAACTTGATTGCAGGAAATACGACTTCAGCAACAGAGTGGTCAATGTCTGGAATACTCTACCTGACTCTGTAGTTTCTTCCCCAAATCCCAAAGACTTTAACCTTAGACTGTCTACTATTGACTTCACCCCTTTCCTAAGAGGTCTGTAGGGGGCGTGCATAAGCGCACCAATGTGCCTACCGTCCCTTTCCTATTGTTTCTTTTATTTTTCTTATATGTACCCATTTCATGTATTCATAACTATGTATATACTTATACCTATTATCTTGTAAGCGATTGACAAATCAAAATAAAAAAATAATAAAAATAATAATAAATAAATAAATAAATAAATTCAATCTTCAATCACCAAGAAGGAGTTTTTGTTTCTTTGCTTGTTTTCACAGTACAGTAGCAATAGTATTTAGACTTATATACTGCTTTACAGTGCTTTACAGCCCATTCTAAACAGTTTAAAGATTTAGTATATTGCCCCCAACAATCTGGGTCTTCATTTTACCCATCTTGGAAGGATGGAAGGCTAAGTCAACCTTGAGCCTGGTGAGATTTGAATTGCCAAATTGCAGGCAGCTGGCAGTCAGCAGAAGTAACCTACAGTACTGTACCACTGTGGCTCAGTAGTTCAAATAATGCAAAATAGAGATGTGCAATGCTCGAAGAGGAAAAGATAGCTTGGGCAGGGAGACATGGCACATGCTTGGGGATTTTTTTAAAACATCTACCATGCACTCTGAAATCCTTAGATTTGATTTGGAACGTGAATGTGATAATATATTTATCCACTCTATTTTGGATAAATGTGTTCAGATAGCAACATTTTCTGCTTTAGTAAATAGAACTAAAGTTATAATAGTTTTTTTATTACTACAGTTAAACCCAGAATAGGTCATATTACCCCAATAAAGGTAAATTTGTGATGGGAGGTGGATGGGCTCCATTACGGTGGTGATAGGTTCACTGTTCTAAGACCTGAAAGACCAGGTTAGGGACAGATCATCATGGAGAAAATCTATCTGTGTGGTTGTTAAAGAGTTATCACTTACTTGATGGCACTTAATCTACTTAATAGAAATGTTTATCATACGACTAGATAACAAACACTGAAACAAATACAGAGCAAATTTTAGTTGCCAAATTAGTTTAGATTTTACAATTGGATCCTCGTGCCCTGTTTTGCAGATATTATTTCAAAATTACCTATTGTTAGCAATCCAAAATATATCAATAAACAAAGAATAAAGATGAAACACTCTGCACTTATTTCATCAAACAAATAAAAAGTCTCCTGCTTTGCTTATTTTGCTGTGTGTGAAAAAAATCAGATTGCCATAAACAGTGAATGGTCCAGATTTTACTGCGAGATATTTGTCCCTGGGTGTAGAGGCTATCTGGGTGCAGAAGAATAATCCAATATGTTCCCACATAGGCTCATTTTCAAGGAAAAAATGACATGTTTCAAAAATGAACAGGAGTCCAGATACTAACTTATTGGACAGCATCATGTTTGTCAGGCGATTGCTGGAACAACCCCCCCACCCATCTCCAAATTATCCACTCAACTGTAAGTCTTCAAATAATCAAAATGTACATTGAAATACACTTCTAGTGCCTCAGCATATTACCTGTTGTTGGTTGAACACTTGCTGAAAAAGAAAAAAAAAGGGACCTGATTACATTTTAAGAGATTTACTGTAGTAGTTCAGCCACACAGTGGCTGTATTGATATGCACATCCATTTCTTATCACACTGCTTGTAAAGTGGATACAATGACCAGAAGAATAGTATTTGCTTTGTTTTGCTAAGGCTGCAAAAGTTACTCACTTGTGCTCATTTCTGTGCCAACTATTTGGTTTCGAGAGGCCACTTCAAGGGTACAAAAAAGCAAAAGTGCTATGTTTTCCCATCACTGATTCAATGTAATTAAACGGCTCTCTTTGCCTGCACTGTAATCATCATGTAACTAATTTTACTTCGATAAAAGATTCTCTGGCAATATTAGGTGACTATTTCAGGGATGTTGAAGTTATTGTCTAATTTGAGAGAGCTATGCCTACCAGGCATTATCAAAATATTCCCCCGTACAATCACATATCCTTGAGATGATGGCTCAGTAGAGTCACTAAGCTACATGCTCTTTTACTACTCTCTCTGTATAGAATCCTAGCTTATATTTATGCATCTTGTCCTAAAATTTCCTGCAGAGAGCATGATCTCTTTGTGGCTTCCTCTGTTTAACCATTATTCAGCTACATCTTCCTGGGTTATATCTAACTGCACTGGTTACCAGGAGGCTTTGGGGTGGGATTCAAAATTCTGTTTATCTGTTTATCTGAAGAAATGTCTATCTACTATGGCTTCTGTGATTCCGTTCTATGCAGTTAGAGTTAGGATGCTTTGGATTCCATCAGTTATCACTGGTATCACTTCAAGAGACCAAGAAAACAGAGGCCTTGTTACAGCGCCTGGCCTCTGAAATGAAGTCCCTCTCAAGATTCATATGGCTCCCAATGTATTTAAATGAAGTCTTAAAACCTGGCTCTTCCCCCCCCCCACACACACACACACTCATGGGTCTCCATTACAACAACAAGTGCAACAAGTTAACCTCAGTTGTATGCCAGGCTGGCATGACATTTTTCTTCAGGTAAAAGTTGCTGACATGTATTTCTGCAATTTTGCCCTATCCTTTTCTTTTCTTGGTGAATCTTATCCCTTTACAATTTTATAGCCATCATTTTTTTCTGGGTTTGTTTGTTAGTATCCTGGGTTTTCCTTAGGGGAGTTAGAATATTAAGTTCCAACACTAAGTACACTAAGATGTACAAACTCTCAACATTAACTACCAATGGGGAAAACCTCCTTCCCCCATAAAATATGTATATTGGTCTCATCACAGGATGAGAACGTACCTGAACAAATGACACCAGCATCTTCCTGGTGGTTGCAATTATGATTTCCCCAGCCTGAAGTTTTACATTCCAAAAGATGGGATTCATACCCACTGCAGTTCACGTCATCCAGGAGAATAGGACCATATCCTTGTCCAAAATAGGCTCCGCTTTTTGCTTCAATAGCTGGTCCACATCCAAGTTGTCTGCATACTACTGCCGCATCTTTTAGATCCCATATATCATCACAAACTGTCCCCCATTCTCCAAAGTCACGCCGAACTTCAACGCGGCCTCGACAGCGATTCCCTCCATTTACCAATCGGAGCTCTTAAAATTTAATTAATGAATCAATTAGTATGATTTCTCTTCTTGACAATTCACAAATTTTAATATGCAGATGTGATACTCAGAACCTACCCAACGTTGGCTGATCTCAAAACAAATAATCAGGGCTGATTCTATTGGGATTAAATTTTCTTGGAGGTTATTAGGAAATGCCAAATGTATTCTTATTTGGGAATTTTTAGAAAATTTAAGGAGAAGATGATGGCAATTTTTTCTATATTGTTGCTGGAAAATTAACATTTTGCATACAACTATTCAACAGAGCTATTTTTCTTTTCTTGAAGACCTTGGAAGAAAATGGGCATACTGAGATTTTGTGTTTCAGTTTCCAGCTTCCCCAACCAAGAGGATGCTGGAAAAATATTACAGGAGGAATAACAACAACAATATAGTTCATTGATATTGCAACACCAGATAATGTATGAATTGAAGAGAAACAACTAGAAAAAATAACAAAATACTGCGTTCTGCAAATTGATGTTGAGCAATTATGGAGGACAAAATCAATAGTACCAATATTAATAGAGCCCTTGGAGTAATACCCAAAGGGCTGCCTAGATCATGGAAATTTTGAACTTATCAGACCTGAATATCCTGACTTTGCAAAAAAAAAAAAAAAAGTACCTTACTCAGAACTGCCTATATACTCAGACACTACCTTAACAGCTCTTAGGTCCTTGGTTAAGGCTTGAATTGTTAAGTTTTTACCAGTCCCAGACTATGAATAGAATTGAAGATTAAATCTTAAATAGTAGTAGTAGTAGTAGTAGTAGTAGTAGTAGTAGTAGTAATAATAATAATAATAATAATAATAATAATAATAATAATAATAATAATAAAGATAATAATAATTCCATCAAACTGTCTGCTCCAAGTCTGTGCTTTTTCACCCTGAAAAAATAAGATATTATTATACAAAAACAAAACCAACTTCCTCCCCAAAACTCTACCTCAATAAATATATTCCTGATATCTTTTTTTAAATTTATCATTCAAAAATCACTGTCATATCACAATAATGGTTTTAATTTTCTTTAATTATGAGGCGTGTTTGTTAATGTCAATAATGGATCGGAATACAACATTGAACATGTTCCCTTATGAATCCAATGTGAGGTATAATTTGATGCTTTTAAAGTCCTAGCAAATTCTTGGTTCTAACTATGGCAACCACCTGATGACTTTTCCAATACTTGAGGGAGCCAAACATATTTGATTTTTCTTGACAAAGAAGTTGAAATTCATTTTTATGAGAAATTGATGTTTTGGAATAAATATTTTTAAATGGGAGTGTGGTGGCTCATGTTAGGATGCTGGATTGGCAATTAGCAAGCCTGTTTTGAGACCCAAATGCTGCTGCAGGATGGGGCGACCTCTTATCCTTTGCTTCAACTCCTGTAAACCCATTAGTTTAAAAGTGGGTGATCGTAAGTTAATAGATGGGTCCCACTTTGGTGGGCAACTTAACGGGGACATGAAAGGAGTCCCAAGCCAGGTGTCGTCTGGACAACAGCGATGTCACTGGCTAATCCTTCAACCTGGAAATGCTTCAGTGCTTCCAACACAAGAGGGAGTGATTTTTAAATGGTGGGGATATTTTTATAAAGCAAGGATTAAAAAGGGAATAATTGCTATGTATCAGTTAGCATATACCAATACTTCAAAACAATTTTGATCTTGGATCCCTACTCCATATGGAAACATTCATGTACCTTTCTTAGCAACATTTTCAGAAAGAGGGACTGACTCCAAAACCCAGCTGCATACCTAGATTTGTGGCTTCTTTGTAATGGTGGGATTCAAATTTGTTCACTACCGGTTCTGTGGGCGTGACTTGATGGACATGGAAGGGGAAGGATACTGTAAACTCTCCAGTCAGAGGTGGTATTTGCTGGTTCTCAAAACTACTCAGAATTTCCACTACTGGTTCTCCAGAACTGGTCAGAACCTGTTGAATACCACCTCTGCTTCTTTGGTCCTAATCTAGCCCTACAACCATCAGCATAAAATGGTCCTCAAATATATTCTTTGCTATCCAGTTTTCTTGGTAATATATCAATAAAATTGAGTATACTTTTAATTGAGTATAATTGTATACTCAATCATAATAATAATTGTATAATAAATACAATAATTGACTATTATTTAGTAACAATTGAAAATGAAAGTATGAAATTGAATAAAATAAAATTTTATAATTTTATTTTCAATTGTTACTAGAGCGTAATTATTATTATATATACTTCCTTAAAAGATCAGTAAAATTAGGAAACCTGTGGAAAAAATCAATCTAGCAAAATTGGGCTGTAAAAATCCACACTACCACACTAAAAATCCACAGATGGCATCAAAATCAGAGTTTTATATTACTGTGGGGCTATCCCATAGTCTTCTGGAATTTTACAGGCCAGATATGAAAATTTAGCTGAAATCAATAGTCCTTGAAACTACAGCTTAAAAGATAGTGTTATTGTAAACCTAACTACAATCAGAAACAGAAAGAAATGTCACAGTTAATATCCAAATTATATGTGATTTCTGGATACCAAGCATAACCTTTTTTCATATTAGCAAATTGTAGGAAAGCACAGCGTATAATATTACCTGTTCTATTACTAGGTGGTCTGGTTGGTGGAAAAGGAGCTGAAAAAAGGAAAAGAGACATATTAAATTATATGACAGATAATAGCACACTAATAACATTTTACCCATGAAATATTTGAGGGTATGTCAACCATATTTGATATCTACAGCATCTGTATACACACACATGTACAAAATTTTCTTAATGAAAACAACTTGAAAGAAAAGAACATAATAGAAAGCATCCCATGTGGACTATAGCCATAGATATATTAATAGTATATTAAATTAGAAAATACCATAATCAACTTTCATTTGACTTCATATGTCTATCTAACAGTCCCTTATATATTTCTATCTGCCTTTTTAAAAGCCTTAATTTTATGAACTATCTCCATCTCTGATGGAGATGGTTCATAATAAGATAATTAAGAATAAGATATTCAAAATAAGAATAATTAAGTACAAAGATAAGTAACCAAATTCAGTTTGATGCTTTTAAGAATCTTGAGTGAGAACTGCAACGCAGATATACCTGCCATAGTGATTTTTCCCTATCTTGTTGTAAGAACTGATCACCTCAGGGGGGCACTCCAAATTAATTTTAGTGATTGCATCTGTATAATGTTACAAGATCCATACCATTCACATAATGATATCTCTGCCTGTAATTCCTTATATGCTACAAAAATACTGGTTACCATAACAACATATTTTGTATCAAAACTGAAAATAAACGGGGAAGTGAATTTTGGTTGGAAATGAATCAATGGAGTATTGCTCCTCTGTAACTAAATTTTTTTCAAATAAACCAACAAACAGAGCAAAGAAATTATATCTGAAAAAATGGATTTAAGAGAATTTCATACCTAACCAGGTCTTTTTTTTTCAACATAATATCTAACTATTAGACAGATAGTAACTGTGCAGTTTTTTAAAAATCATTTGCTAAATCATGCCACAAAAAAAGAGATAAAATTAAATAGTCAGAGTGCTTATAGTTATTTCCCTTATATTCAGATCAGTTCTTGGTTCTTAGCTCTAAACTGCTGTACAATAAAGAGGGCAGATGCCATTTACTTCTATTTCAAATCAGGATTTGTTTGGGTTTTCCTGAAGCTAAGGAATGTTGCAATTACACAGTACCAAAGAAACAAATTAATGGATCTTAATTACTCATCTCAAGGCTGAGCAACGGATATCAGGGACATATATGCATACGTGTGTGTATGTTTATTGTTTTTTATAAATAGCAAAATGTTTTACAACAGCAAAACTGATTTATATTTTGCAGCTGGATATGAATAAATTATTTTGAAGATGACCAGGCTGAGCTGAGGGAGGGGTCAAATGAGTCATAAGTCACAAGTCCCTAAGCACCTGCAAGAGATCTAATTCTCCTGATTTTTCAGATGTTTGATAATTGTATTAATTTAAAATTATCTGTTGATGGAAGCCATCCTCAGTCTGTCAACTACAAGAGGAAACAAGAGGCATTAAATCTACACATTGTTGTACACATTATTGTTCAGATGTTTGACAATTGTATTAATACAAAATTACCTGTTGATGGAAGCCATCCTCGGTCTGTCAACAACAAAAAAGGAAACATGAGGCATTAAATCTACACATTGTTGTACACATTATTGCTCATGATAAATATACTTTTATTTTGGTAATTATTTTCTGCTTTTCTAGGAAAATATGTAAATAGCTAATGCTTATATGATGAATTGCATAATCAAATAATTTTATGTACTGGAAAAATTCATGTAAATCAGATTTGCAGGTATAGAAAAGAGAATTATTTGGACAATAAGTACATTCATTGACCATTCAAGTTTACAACAGCTCTGAAAAAAGTGATTTATGACTGTTTTTCACACTTACAACCTTTGTAGCATCCCCATGATCATGTGATCAAAATTCAGATGCTTGCCAACTGACTTGTAAAATGGGAGAAAATTCACTTAACCACTGTCTCACTTAACAACAGAAATTTTGGGCTCAATTATTGTCATAAGTCGAGGGATACCTATAAATGAAGAAGACCCCAACTATCAGGGACTAATAAATGATTGGTCATGAACATATCGGTCAAACAAATAGTAACAATATCCTGTCAGCTTCCTTTTTGTATGAAGCTCTCCTTGATGATGGAGCATGAAATGTTTCCAGCCAATACAATTCATGGACGTATGGCTAATACAGCTAGTACTTTTGAAGGGCACTAAGTTGGAGGTGGCTGGGCCTATGGATATTGAATTGTACTTTGGACCTCTGTCTTTACTTCATAGCCTGATGTTCCTGGTATCAATGTGACAAAAAATCAGAGAATGGCTTATACCTGCACATGTGACTGCAACATTTGCGTTGGTTCGGCAGCCTCCTTGAAAAGAGCATTGCCGCAAGTAGTCTTCACTGCCAGTACAGAACACATTATTCAAGTAAGGGTAAGTGAAGTTGTTGTATTTGCTAACTGTAAGTGCTCTGCCACACTGCAGCTCCCTGCAGACGACCTCAGCTTCCCTCAGGCTGAATTGATTATAGCATGCACCAGTCCAGCCACTAAAGAAATAAACTTGAAGAAGACCGGAACAGTTTCTCGACAGCCTCACATAAATTCCTTTAAATAGACATTAAAAAATAGTGTTATTAGCAACAGCACTTAGCAATAGCCCTTAGACTTATATACTTCTTCACAGTGCTTTACAGCCCGCTCTAAGTGGTTTACACAACCAGCATATTGCCCCCAACAATTAGGTCCTCATTTTACTCACCTTGGAAGGCTGAGTCAACCTTGAACAGTGATATTAGAACTGCCAAATTGCAGGCAACCAGCAGTCAGCAGAATTATCCTGCAGTACTGCATTCTAACCACTGTGCCACCACAGCTATTAATTAATTAATTAATCATTAGGTGTCTACATATTTGTACATTTAATGCACACAAAATTATGGTTTTAAAATGTAACTTCCAAATAAATGTGGAATTATTGCCTTCTTTCAGTCTTACTACTTTTAAATGGGGCACACCAGAAAAGTCTCACCTTGGAAACACTAAACCAGGGGTGGGATTCTACCTATTTGGACCAGTTCTATAGAACCAGTTGTTACGATTCTGCACAGTTAGGAGAACTGGCAAATTGTGCCACTGCCTCTGGCAGCAGATTGTAGAAAAGTAGATCTGTGAGTGACTCTGTGATTCTGCAAGCAACTCAAACTGCCTGCCTGCCTGCTTTGCCTGCTTTGGGGTAAAAGTTGCTCATATACTGTAAATCTTAACCTTTTGTTTCCATTCCTTCTTCCGACAGGTTAGTGGCTTGTTTTTGATGTGACAACGATAGATCTGGGCAGGATTACTTCAGATTATAGATGAGGCTCTTCTGTTCAAAAACTCCCTGCACTACTTTGTCAGAAAAAATGGTGGGATAGGTCTCTTTTCCTCAGACACTTAGTTTATGTTTTATTTTATTATTCAATATACTCCTACCACCTCTGAGTAACTCCCAATTTAAAAAGTAAAGGGCAAAAGCATACAAAAATGTTATGGGTGGTCTGAATGAAAGATGCAAAAAGAAAGAAAGAAAAAAGAAAGAAGGAAGGAAGGCAGGGAGGAAGGCAGGGAGGAAGGAAGGAAGGAAAGAAAGAAAGAAAGAAAGAAAGAAAGAAAGAAAGAAAGAAAGAAAGAAAGAAAGAAAGAAAGAAAGAAAGAAAGAAAGAAAAAATAAAAAACATCCAACAGGATTCAACTATTGCCCTGATCAAAGTTTGGAAAGATAATTAGGACTTCAAAGGACTTCAAACTTAATCAGAGGGGAACCTTTGGATTTAAGGACTGGAAGGGGAAATATCATTCCAGAAGGAAGATATAGTACCACAACAGAGAAGGGTCTAGTAGAGTCCCTCTCGATGGCACTGCCTTTTCAAGTAGTGCAGTTTCAGATGACTTGATAGAAATGTTGACTTGGACTTTGCTATCGGACTATTTTTTTAAAAAGGTAATTTTTAACTGGAGCAGTAGAATAGCAAGGACTGGTTATGTTTCCACAGCTATTGATTTGGGATGGGAAAACAGATATTGCTGGAACAAAGCAGGGAATAACATTAGGGGAAATATGCTTCTCTTCACCATCCGACTGATAAATTCCATTCCTTTACAGTTTTAAGTAACATTTTCACTCCATGCCCCAATTCCATCCCCTCCCAAAATGCCTGCTTGTTTCTTTAGGAAAATAATTATTCTAAGTAGGTGTTACATGCCTATCAGCATCTTGACGCTGTTGTGCTTGTTGGGTAACTGTTTACATATACATACACCTTCCATAAAGGCTTATCTTTAAAACTTCTCTCTTCCCACCTCCATTTGAATGAAGAAGCCAATCTTTTCCTATAAAAGTCTTCCTCCTTAAACAAGCCATGATTCAAAGGCCAAAGAGCAGTTAAAGAAAGCAAACAGACAGAGGGCCAGAGTATGGTATGCTGACCAAGGAAGATTTGGATAATTGGAGTACTACTATATATGACATGGCAATTCTCTCTTGATCCTTAGGCCACTATAGCTTAATATTTTAAACTTGTATAACATTATAAACTGACAGATTGTAAACTGTTCAGAGTTTTGTGACAGCAAGTTGGGCAATATAATATATCAATACAATGTCTGGATTGCAAAAACCTAACTACTAGATGGCAGACAAGAATTCAATTTTTTAAGTAGTCTAGCAGTCATCTGACTCTTACAGCTTGGTACTAGTAGCCTGGGTGTAGTCATTTTTATTCCTGAATTATTTTTCTTGTGATGATTTTTTATAGGGCAAAGGCAACTTTATTTGTCACCTGTCTCATTTTCAAACCCTCTACTTCAAACTTTATTTGTCTAACGGCAGTTTTCCCAAATGGCAGTTTTCCAGATCAGAGCTCCCAGAATTCCAGTTGTGCATTTGTTGCACTTGGGAAGCAACTGGTTGACAAAGGCTGATATAATATAAATGATACCTATTATCTTGTAAGCAATTAAACCAAATAAATAAAATAAAAAATAAAATAAATAACAACTCTCACTCAAACCAACATAAATGTTTGAAAACTCACCATGATGATCAGTTGGGGTTGTAACTGAAAAATAAAATAAAAAATACGACAGTGATGTGCAGGAAAATCTGTTATTGCAAACTTGCAGCAGATCAGACTTTGATTTTGTTCTTGTTAGAAATAATATTTCTTAATAATACATGAAAATGATTTATATCTCTCTAGAAAGAAACCTTATTTTTATAAGCAGTTAATTAATTAAATGAACTTTTAAATGTCCAGAATGCAAACATGAAAGGGATGGGGTTTGTGTTACAGTGCTACTTCCACTATATTGCCTAAATTAATTCTCCTTGGTGGGCTTGCCTAATAGAAAGTTTGCAGATGTTCTGAATACCAACTTATACTGGGTTTGCTTAACATACACAAGCACCATGTTTGTGTCCAAACTTCATATACTGTATGGTTATCCTTGTATGTGGTGGACCCATTGCTATTGCAGGTTTTTAAAGTAGCATTAAATATTTTTGGTTTTGTGGACCAAAATAATTGTGATTTATTCAAAATCTATCATTAAAATAGCTCTGGAGTAGTGTGACGTATGAACATAGTTCTGAATAAATACAGCTGAAGATTTTATTTGAATATTTATAGGTTTAGACTCTACAGTTTCAGTAAACATGTCCACCTTTGGATGAATTTCATATTTTAAGACTTAATAATATGGATAATCTGTTCGGTCAAGTTTGATCAGTTGTGTGTCTGCTTGTCCCTTGCTCCTTATGGCTTCTAGCATTGAAGGGGTGTTCATCTGGGTCCATAAAGTTATATTTCTTCCTTGCAGGAAGACATGGTTCAAGCCTCAATAAAGTCTACAAACTAAAATGATTAAATTAGCAGTGATAGTCTCTGAAGTGTCAAAGGGTGTTAACTTTTATAGTTCAAGCCTCCTCTACCCTGATTTCATTTCTGTGTACAATTCGACTTTTGAAAAATTGTAAGCATACAATACTTCTCACTGTCTTGTATTAGAGATGCCAGTGAAAACCCAGTTATATATGTAGCTCAGGGTTGAATTGAGAAATACCAGTTGCACTGATGATATTACCTAGGTTGGATAATGAAACATCTGCAAGAAAACAACCAAGCTCAGAGAGCACCAAGGACCATTTAGTTCCTTTACACTGTAGCGATCCCCACATTATCAGGATTTAAGTCCCTGTGTTTGCAGTTACCCAAATATCCCTGCAGAGGGACATTATCTTGCTGGATAATAAAATGCAGTAGCTATGTGCACGCGCACACACACACACATATTCAGAAATATATCCTGAAACATCCACCTGTGTCTGCAAAAAGATATTTAATGGTTTGGAGGGAGAGTGTTTTGCATGCATTCCCATAAATTCTCAAGCTCCTTTTTCAAAATATTTGCAATTATCTCTTAATCATACAAAATAAGCCTCTGGTTCATGTCAGCTGAGTGCATATGATACTGGAGGTGGATTGATATGGTTTCATGAGAGTTGCAGTTCAGTCCAAAGCCAAATGCCACAACAATCAGTTCTCTATTTACATTAGTGCATGAACTGATTCACACAAAAAGGCAATGCAAAAAGAATCAGGAAGTTGTGGAGAAATATTATCTGTGCTCTCTTAAAATTACATATTTGAAATTATGTTTGAGGCAAATCTAGAAGGAAATTTGCTTTAAACATATAGTACTATATTTTAGTACTAAATTATGAGGTATAAATATGTGCAAGCATGGCAATAAGTGTCTCTTCAGAATTTTCAGCAGCACAACAGCAGCAACAATATTATTTCAAAAAAGACTTACAGGCAGCAGTTGCTGTTCTTGCTGTTGTTATTTCAGAATTACCTGTAGAAATAATATAAACAAAGTGTTAATGAGTTTAAATGTCATTGCAAAATATTTTTTCCAAAAAGTTTTTAAAAGGAATATATCATGTAAACTAGAAGATTTAGTGAATGCTTACAAACTACCCTGACCACTAAACCCTAACAATATAACCAAGTGTATTGCATGCTTTACTTATTTGTTTTATATTTTTTCAAATAAGCAATCATGAGGAATAAAATAATGCAAAGCAAGCACATAATTCAAGTTGCATGTGTGTATAATAGCAGTGAAGCGCAAGAAAGATATAAAAAGTCTCTTTCTGCCTTGCATACAAGCCAAATAACATAATACAAATCCAGATACTCTTTAGCTGGCTTGGATAATATAAGGAAAAATTTCTCTTCCCATTGCCACTATTCCTGAAAAAAGGAAATAGTGATTCAAGCAGACAAAGTACTATGTCCAGACACCCTAAAATTTGGGAAATTTTTCCTCTTTACATAAAGGCTAAAATTGCAGGTGTATTTTCCTGATTTTGTACATTGGTGATGGCAGGAGAATGTGTCTAAATATTAGAAAAGGAACATCAGTTCTGTATTATACGACAGATCAGCCTTGTCAAGTAATATCTGTTGTTGGTAGCTCAACATGCAAGCATATTAAATTGGAATTTGATCCAAGACCTTACTTCTTCTGAGCTGGGTCTATTTTTTACTCAATTATTTTTTCTTGCAAAGATTCATAGGTGGCTGAAAAAAATAAGTTATAGTTATGCCTTTATTTATTTCTTTAACATTTTGAAATATGTAATAGATGAACTCTGCATAGTTTGCAATAAAATCAAACAAAGTGCAAAATGAAAATCCCTATAAACTAGACAGCAACAAAACAGCCATTCAATATATAAAGAATATAAGTTAAAAGGCAATTACAATTAAACAAATACAAAATCCTGGGGAAAAAAATCTTCACCTGGCACCAAAATGATGCTGGGGAGGCACCATTTAACGCTTCCATAGAAAGTCATTCCAAGATTAGGACACCACCACAGAAAAAAGCTCTCTCTCTCTCTAAATTCTCACCTCTCCTTTTTTGGTGATAGAGGCTGGAGGAGAGCCTTGTTAGAGAAACACTCTTAAAATCTGGGCATGTCTATAAAGGAGAAGATGCTCCTTCAAGTAACATGGCCAAGTAAAGGCATTTAGGTTTTTAAAGGTTTTTTAAAAAAGACACTGTGGCTCTTTTTTATATGTTTACTGGGTCTGTAAATGTATCTTTCCCCCTTTTAGTTCTGTATTTGTCAAATTGTTCATTTTTATTTTATGTCTGTCTGTTTGAAAAAGGATTAATAACAATGTCGAATAAAGAAAAAATAAATGCAAGGTTGCTAAAGGTTATTTGTGCATTTATTCGGCATGAATTTTAGTGGGTGGCAATGGGATAGTACTTTTTTAACAGGGATTAGATTTTGTGTTTTAGGTAGGATGCTTTATTGAATTGTTGCATTTTTCAGTTTTTTGCTTGCAAGCCATTTAGATATGTGGGTTGTGATGGTATATAAAATAAATAAATATAATAAACGATGTATAGGACCAGTGTGGGTGTAGTGGTTTAAGTATCAGGCTAGAATAATCCTAGTCCCACTTTAAGCACAAAGCCATCTGGGTGACCTTGGGCTAGTCATTTTCTTTCAGCCATGGAAGGAGGAAATGGCAAACCATTGAAAAACCTTGCCAAGAAAACTTCAGGGACTGGCCTAGGAAGTGTCCACAAATTGGACGTGATTTAATGGAAGAAAAAAAAAACAATTTATGTCACAACATATCATATAATATGTAATATCTGCAAGCAAACTTTGTATAACTAGTATGAAAGTTCAAGAACCTAAAGACTAAAGTGGTCTTCTCATCCATTTTTCTAACCTTGGGCCGTCCATCTCTCTCTTAGCCCAAGAAAGGGGCAATGGCTGATCGCTTTTGAAATCTTCCCAAGAAAAAATGCAGAGATTTCCCCAGGACTCAGCAATGAGAAAAAAGGTATAACAGACACCTCATGGTCTGATTCCCATAACTGAAATATAATAATTATAAAATTTGTTTGAGGGAAAGAAGTAACATATTAGTACATGTTAGAAGTATCCACAGCTGCTCAGAAATACTAATGAATGAACTTAGCGATATTGCAGGGAGCATCTTAATTTCAAAAGGTAGAAGTATGAATACAAGAAGCCAGCCAGCATGGCTACATGAAAAGCTTAGGGAAGGTCTGAAAACACACAAAGCTGTAAAAAAGAGATGGACAAATAAACTACCAAAGAAAAGTACATACAGGTTGCCTGAAAGTGTAACGAATAAGTGCTCGGAATAAATAGAATATTATTCAAAGAATGTTCATCAATTGTTTCTCATGAGACTTGAGCGAGATATTGAATGTATTGATACAAGATTCAATCCTAATACCTGCACTGTTAAAAAAAACTTGGATAAAAGAATTTATTAAAGATGAATAAAGTTGGTTAATAGTCAGTTAATAAAGATTTAGCAAAAGGAGTTCTGATCACTGACAGATTCTTAACAGCTTAAAAGACACCCCCAAAATTATAGATAGTAGTTTGCTGGCTAAACATATATTTAAAGTGAAACTTTGCAATAAAAGAAAAATAGTTTGCACAATTTGGAAGCTTAAGGGATGAGCAGAGATCATTTTATGTATAAATCATTTAAATAAATGATACATAATATACTTTCCTATAAAGCTGAATTCTAAAATTCAGTTCAGAATGTAAAACTTTATATGGAATCTGAACTCTGCTTCATTTGCTTCCTAAGAGTGAACATTCTGGATTAATTGAAGATACAGAGAATGCAGAGGTTCAGCCCTGTAATTTTTCAAAAACAGTCCCATTTTGGAGACCTTGGATGATCCATCTACTACAGTCTATTTCAATCACCCTGGAGAAGATTAAGCATAGAATTTACCTGCAAGCACTAACAGCATCACCCAAGATAGTATCATTGTGGTGTCCATCTTCCCAACCCTTCTGTCCCAGGTTCAGACACACCAACACCTGAATTTAAAAGTTTGTGACAATGCAGAGGTGTGGCTAATTGAGGTGTGATTCATTGCCATAATCTTAAGACAATGCCTTTCAAGGATCAATATCTGCAATTCACATATATGCTCTATTTGTCTACCAACAAGGTTAGCATTGCAGTGATAAATGTTTCCATGATTTATAGAAAAGCATTGCCACATACTCAATAAAAATGTTACTTCTTTTTGGTCATAAGCTATTTCCCTAGAGATAAGAGATCCCTCTTCAGATATGCCTAAGATTGAAAAGGCCAAAGAACAAACCATAATTAAACTAGATAGGGTAGATCTGCATAATCTGCTCATAGGGCAGCAGCAGTGTTGCCAACAAATATTTAAAGGTGTGAAAAATTATGATTTATTGTGTGTTTGACTCTTTTAAAAATATGGAATGTATCATTACTTTACAGTCTTGAAGCTGATAATAAAGGAAAAATAGAGACAGAAAATGAAATAGTGTAAAAAAAAACTTAAAAAGGAGAATCTCTAGAAAGCTCATTTTCCCCTTACACTGTCCAGAGCCACTAATAACTACTTAAGTACAGGTAGTCCTTGACTTACAACATTTCATTTGGTGACCATTCAAAGTTACAAAGGCACTGGAAAAAAGTGACTTATGACCATTTTCCTCAGTTACCACCTTTGCAGTATCCCCAGGGTCACATGATCAAAATTTGGATACTTGGCCATTGGTTCATATTTATTGTTTTGCATTGTCCCGGGGTCATGTGATTCCCTTTGCGACCTTCTGACAAGCAAAGCCAATGGGGGAATCCAGGTTCACTTAACAACCAGCTTACAAACTTATCAACTGCAGTGATTCACTTAACAACTGTGGCAAGAAAGGCAGTAAAATGGGGCGAAACTTGCTTAACAAATGTCTCACTTAACACTGGACATTTTGGGCTCAATGGTAGTCATAAGTTGAGGACTACCTGTATTTATACTTTTCTTGAAAATTGGACATTGTTGCTTATATTTATTTAAAGCGGATTATATGATATGTTTTAATTAATCTTGTAACACTTTTTCCTCAAAAAGTGGATTCCAAATATATGAGCTGTGGTGGTACAGCAGACTAACTCTGCCCACTGTCAGGAGTTCAATCCTGACTGGCTCAAAGTTGACTTAGCCTTCCATCCTTCTGAAGTGGGTAAAATGAGGGCCCAGATTGTTGGTGGCAATATGCTGACTCTGTAAATTGCTTAGAGATGGATGTAAACCACTATAGAGTGGTATGTAAGTCTAAGTGCTATTGCTAACTGTTGGGGGGGATTCTTAAGTAGGCAGATCTTAAGTAAATAATATTTACTTTTTATTTACTATGAACATGCCACTCAACAGTCTCACTTCAGCTCAGATAAGTAAGGCTCTGAGTCAAGGGGCAGCCAATTTTATTTTTAAAAATGCAGGAAGAAAGTCACCATGATATCTAAGCAAACTGCATCTCATTCATCCACAAGTTTAACAACTCTACTTGCTTTTTTTAAAAAAAATGGTTTGTATGTAGCAGGGGAGGGCGGTTGTCTGGATTCTGGGGAAGACATTTAATCCAGATTAAACATAAAAGTGATCACCATGGATTAGAACAGTCATCACCAACCAGTGGGCCAGGGACCACTGGTGGTCCGTGAGAAAATTTTGGTAGTCCGCAGAGAAATGTCATCCCCAAAGCAATTAATCCAGACCCGCAGGAACGAAGACTTTTATTGCTTGCATTGTGAAAAACATGAAATAGTGAGAGGAAGGGTTAAAGGGTGGAGCGGGGAACTTGCCCCACTCACCCCACGCACCTCGCCTGGCCACCAGGCTGCTTCTTTCCACTTCTTTCTTCTTCTGCTTTTGGCTTCATGCAAGGAAAACAGCAAATGTCTTTCTTTCTCTCCCCCAAACTCCACCAGCAATGAGTCTTTGGGACCCTGCAAGGCTTCCTGCTCCAAGAGGCTGCGCCGGCAAAAACTCATTTCTGGTGGAGTTTGGAGGAGATAAAAAAAGACTTCTGCTACTTCTGCTGCTTTCTTTGCATGAAGCCAAAAGAGTCTCCCCCCTCCCCCCCAAGAACAGAGCTGGAGACGGTATCCTGCGATCCTAAATAAAGAATGGTCAATCGGTAGAAAAAATGGGGTGGGGAATTTTCCTGCAGACTTTTTGGGGGATTTCCCCAGGGTCTCTGGTCCACGGGATTTAAAATTAAGAGTTTGGTGGTCCCTGAGCTCTGAAAGGTTGGCAACTCCTGGATAGAACTGTGTGAAACACTTGAGTAGGCCCTGTTTCAACCTCACAAGGATTGCTTCAAGTGCAGAACAGCCTTCTTGTGTTTTTACGCAGAAAAACTATCCTTCAAGTTTTTATGTATGGAGCTTGTCTTTCCTCTTACTTCCTTTTGTTCATATTCTTGTGTACTCTTGGTGCATTCCATGGCATATTAGCTTGCAAGGGAATTTTTGAAATTATTGTCAATTTTCCCTGTTTGCTTTTCAGAAGCTTTAATTTATTAAAAAATGGTGTATGGGTTGTATATTTGTATTTAACAAAGGGAGTGTGCATGTCATGATTCCTTTTTGTTTTGCAATGACCTCTTTAAGATGTAAATATTTTACTTAGGCAGAATAGCTTCTTTCTTTCTGTTGTGGAGCGATGTAAGGAAGAGGCATGAGACCAGAGCGTACAACTAACAGGCTTTATTACAAGGAATAAAGGGTTGTCGCGTCTGCTTGCTAACTTGCAGACCAGCGGGCGACAATGGCTGGCTCTGCTCGACAGCCGGCTTATATAGCCGACTGTCAAACGGAGCCAACCAATGGGAGCTGCTGGTGCTCCCGCTCAAACAGCGGACCTGGTTGGGGACCCCAACCAGTTCCACAGACATAACACCCCTTTCCCCCAGCTGGGGACATGCGTAGTCCTGTAGATACGAGGGTTGTCTTCGCTGGCGACCAGAACGTCGCAGTTCGGGTGAACTGTTGGCCGGTGTCAAGTCCTGGTCTTTGGAACGTGCCTCAGCGGTCGTCGGGGCGTGGGTTTGCCCCGGCGTAGTGTCCTGTGGTGCTGATGAAAACCCCTGCTCTGGTTGGCCCGGCTGAGTCTCGAGGTCTGGCTGGTCAACTGGGTCGCTCGGTGGCTGGAGTGGTGACTCTGGCCGGAAACTCGTGTTCTCCCGCCAGTCCTCTCGCTCGTCAGGGAAGACCAGGTTCCGCAGGGGATCCGCATCAGGCACTGGTGAGGCGTCGTTGGCGCTGGCAGGTTGGCATGGGTTGGTATCTGTTGCGCCCTTCCGCCGCCTTCTGAGTTGATCTACGTGTCTCCACCACAAACGTCCATCCTCTAGGAGGATCCTGTAGGACCTGGGACCTGTGACTGACACGACTTGTCCTGGCACCCACAACGGATCCCCCGCGTAGTTCCTGGCGTATACCAGGTCTTGTGGGGCGAAGTCTCTGACCAGACTGTCGGACCCTAAGGGAGTGTCTGGGCAGTAGTGAGGGTGTAGCCTGTCCAGGGTGGTTCTAAGGCGTCTCCCCATTAGAAGTTCGGCAGGAGATTTGTTGGTGGTGGTGCAGGGCGTTGTGTGCTGGCTGAGCAGGAAACGAGACAGTTTAGAGTGCCAATCCTCCTGGCCAAACCTGGCAAGTGCCTCCTTGGCTGACCTAACTGCTCTCTCTGCCATCCCGTTGCTAGCGGGATGGAATGGTGCTGTAAGGACGTGTCTGATGCCCAAGTTAGCAGTGTACATGCTGAATTCACACGATGTGAACTATGGGCCATTGTCTGAAACCAGCGTGTCAGGGAGCCCGTGGGTGACAAATAGACGGGTTAGGGCCTTAACTATCGCCTGGGTGGTGGTTGTGGGAAGTAAGGCTACATCAATCCACTTGGAGTATGAATCCACGACCACCAGGAAGGTCCTGCCATGTACAGGCCCAGCCAGGTCGACATGCAAGCGGGACCAAGGGGCGTTTGCACTCTCCCATCTGGTGGGCGAGGCAGCTGGAGGGGCAGCCCTGGTTTGTTGGCATGGCTGGCAAGAGCTTACCCAGTTGGCGATTTGAGCGTCCATGCCGGGCCACCAGACGTAGCTGCGGGCCAGGGCCTTCATTCTTACGATGCCCGGATGACCCTCGTGAAGCACCTTCAGGATGGGCACTTGAAGGGAGGCTGGGATGACCACTCTTGTTCCCCACAATAGACAACCTTGCAACTTTGACAGTTCCTGCTGGCGGGTTTTAAAGGGGACAAAATCAGTTGTACATTGAGTTTCCGGCCACCCCCTTCCCACCCAGTCCAGAACCTGGGCGATGATTTTGTCCTTTTTTGAGTGCGCCGCGATGTCCTCGGCTGTCACTGGGAGCTTGAGTTCGTTGACCTCAAAAATGGCGTGGATAGGCGCTGGGTCTTCGACTGTGACTGGCAGGGGGCAGCGACTGAGGGCATCGGCGTGGCTCAAGTTCTTACCGGGACGATGCACTAACTTGAATGAGTAAGCGGCCAGAAACAGGGTCCATCTGGTCATTCTGGGTGAAAGTACCTGCGGGGTTTGCTTATCTCCAGACAGAAGTCCTAAAAGAGGTTTGTGGTCAGTCACTAACTCAAAGTGGTGGCCAAACAAGAATTCGTGGAACTTCTTAACTGCAGCCACTGCAGCCAAGGCTTCTTTATCGATTTGGCTGTAGTTCCTCTCAGTTGGAGAAAGGGTCCTAGAAAAGAAAGCAATTGGCGCCTCGGAACCGTTGGGGAGTCTGTGGCTCAGGACAGCCCCAATGCCAAAAGGGGATGCGTCAGCAGCCAGGACCAGGGGAAGACATTGATCGAATTGAACTAGAACCACTTCTGATGTGAGTAAGGATTTGACTGAGTTAAAAGCATGGGTTTCCTTGGGTCCCCAGTGCCAGGGCGAGTCTTTATCTAGTAGCCTATGTAATGGTTCAGCGACCGATGCCTTGTGCGGGAGGAATGAGGCGTAAAAGTTCAGGAGTC